ATTGTTCTAATTTTAAGTTCTTTTTTAAAACTGTTTAAAACTAGCTAAACGTTTAATCTTTCTTATTCTTATTTTATTATTATTATATAACAATAGAGCTAAATCTAAACAAATCAAAATCCCAAAGAAATTTCTCATTTTCTCAAATCTGAATCTCAAAATTCAATTTCGCGAAAGCTCTCTCCCAAAAATCGAAAAATAATAAGTTGTTTTTGACATTTTCGGAAAAATTGTCGAGCAAAGAACGAGTTTTTCGTGTTTTTTGAGTTGAAAAAAGAGAAAAAGAGAAAAAAGAAATGATCCTGTTTATAGAGAACACGTTTTTCCACCTCAAAATTCCTGTTTTTGCCCAAAAATCGGCAAAATAAGGCTTATTTGGTGCTCAAGAAGCCAGATTTTAACTCAATAATAAGAAAAATTCATTATTTACTAGGATTCGATGAGTATTCAATAGTCTTACCTTAATCTAGTGACGAAATTCGAGCTAAACTTTTGAAAAACCCATCTTTGGTCCTTTACGGCTAACGGGCGGGCGCCGAGTTTTTTTTGACCATTTTGTAGCCCGATTTTATAGAGATTTTTGTTAAAAACCTTTGATGAAACAAATAGTTTCTGAAAGTTAACATTCTAAGCTATTCAAATCTTATTCAAATTTTTTGATCTGAAAAGTTTAAGGTGCTTAGGAATGAGCTGCAAGTTCGCCAAAAATTCGCCCTCCGCCCCCTTAACCGTTAAGATATTACAAAGCATAAACAAGCCGCTCTACTGTAATCCTACTCTGCAATTCTACTCTATTATAATCTTAAATCTAAATTGAACCCAATGCAAATCTATTTTCTTTTGTGTGAGTAAGGTGAACATTCTGAGAAATCGAGAGCGTGTTTTCGACGTTTTTTGAGGGGAAAACAAGTCCCAAGTCCTTAGGGGATGAAGAAATTGAATTTGGAAATGAAAATGAAATGAAAATTGAGTTCACTATGAGTAAGCGATCAATACGTGAGAAGTGAAAACACATTTTGAAGAAAAAACAACCAAATTCAGACTTTAAATCGGCCATTAAAAGATTGGGTGCTTTAGAAGTCGCTTTAGCTTGGCTTATCGATCAAAATTAGTGTAGAGTAGAATTGTAGAGTAGGATTACAGTAGAGCGGCTTGTTTATGCTTTGTAATATCTTAACGGTAAACGGGCGGAGGGCGAGTTTTTCGCTAACTTGCAGCTCGATTTTAAGCACCTTAAACTTTTCAGATCAGGAAATTTGAATAAGATTTGAATAGCTTAGAACGTTAACTTTCAGAAACTATTTGTTTCATCAAAGGTTTTTAACAAAAATCTCTATAAAATCGGGCTACAAAATGGTCAAAAAAACTCGGCGCCCGCCCGTTAGCCGTAAAGGACCAAAGATGGGTTTTTCAAAAATTTAGCTCGAATTTCGTCACTAGATTAAGGTAAGACTATTGAATACTCATCGAATCCTAGTAAATAACCCCCTAAGGACTTGTTTTCCCCTCAAAAAAAACGTCGAAAACATACTCTCGATTTCTCAGAATGTTCACTTTACTCACACAAAAGAAAATAGATTTTCATTGGGTTCAATTTAGATTTAAGATTCTAGCTTATTTTCCTCGATCCCTGAAATCCTTTTTTATTTTAAGCTGAAGCTGGTCAAAAACACATCCATTAAATAAACGATCACCTTACTCATCACTGGAAAACAAAAATAGGACCTCTTGTTGTTGAAATCCTTTGAAAAAGTTGTTATTCAAGTGTTCTAGAACTTTGCAAGTTTTTTCTGTTAAAGGTTTTTTTACAAGCGCTTGATTTAGTAAGACTGAATACCTCAAAACTTTCTTAAAAGTAAAGACTTGAGTCTGCTAGAAGCTAAAAATTTACGCAGACATAATTCAGGCTCTTTAAGTCTTAGTAAAGTCTCACCAAGCTAGCAAAAAGTTTAGTTTTGTCTCTGACTTCTATAGTAAGAGGATTTTGATTAAAATCCAGCAATTTAATTCTTAAATCTATTAGAATATCGTTTCGTAAAGTGAAAAAGAGCTGTAACAATGAGTTCATTCAACTTTCCCCATAGTTGTTTTGGAGCTATTTGTTCAAAACATTGACATTAACTTTACTCATTGTTCAAAACAAGATCCTTTGAGTCCAAAAGGTTTTGGGTATCCAGAAAGAATTTGTGTTGTTTTTCCAAGTTTCCGGAACTTCTTTTTCTCTGATAAACGTCCAATGGATGTTCCGTGAAAAAGTTGTTTTTCTGAGCTCGTTCAGTCAGTTACGACTCGATTCTTGACATGGAAAAAGACAAAAAAGACAAAAAAGACAAAAAAGACAAAGAAAACATTAGATTTTCCCCTTTTTCTTTAGTTCCCGAGAAAACCAAACTTTGTAATCAATCAGGAGAAAAGAAAAACGATGAGGAAGTTAGAGTGGATCAATTTTTGAACAAAATGGCTACCTTGCCTGGAAACGTGACAAAATTTACGAGAAATCCTTCTAGAAAAAATCTTTTTTCCGATTTTTATGATAATTACTGGGTTTTTCTTTAGGGAAACGTGTAAAATTGAATATTTTTCATGTTCTAACGAATGAACAGCCTCGTTTTTTGGTTTCAAAGCGCAATTTCCTTGAGTATGACAAAAGTTTAAAATACAATTGACCTGAGATTCAACTTTTTAAACAAAAAATCATTTGAGTCATCAAATTGGCAGCTTCTAAAATGATAAAATCATTAAATAAAATGCTCAAATAGGAGTTTAAGAAAGTTTATAGAGGCAGAATGATCTCGATATTTGGTCGACTCAAAAAATGAATAGCTCAAATCGATTCCCCGGCCGATTCCCCCGAGTACAAATTTACAGCTCATTCGCTTCTTTTTATATCTTTTATATCATTTTATATCAAACTCCTAAAAATGTTCTTTGTACGGTATCGTAATCGCTTGCCATCTGTCACACATTCCCGGTATAAGAGGGTTCATTTTTTGAGTGCAAAGGAGCGATGAGCGACTGAGCCAGCTTCTCCAACTTGAGCGTCACTATGCCCAAGTTCTGCCCAAGGAATGGGAACAATTCTTGCTTTAAATTTGGCTAGATTTCTCATAGAAATTCCACAATGCATTGTGTTACTTAAACAGCGGCTGAATTAAGAGAATTGATTTGATTTGATAGTTTTGATTCAGAGTCCAGAATCGTTTCGATCTAGCTCTATATTATTCTTTCAAAGCCAATCATTGATCAACCAGAACCGACCAAAATCGTTTCGATCTAGCTCTATAATTTTCTTGCAAAGTCAATCATTGATCAACCAGAACCGACCAAAATCGTTTCGATCTAGCTCTATAATTTTCTTTCAAAGCCATTTACCAAGAGTTGGCCAAGAGTTTACGTGCAGAATCAACGATTTCTTCTATCTCTAACCAAACTGTTTCTTGAAAGAAATCTGCAAAACAATTTCCCCAGTAATTAGATTCCGCGTCAACTATTTTCTAGTTTAACTAGATTTTGAAGAATCTATTAAAAAAAATGATCAGCGTCACTTTGAAATTTTTTCTGAAGAGATGTTTTTTTGAGAATTTTTAGGAGGAAAGTGAAATGGATGATATAAAAAAAAGTGGGAAAAGAAAGGAAAAAGAGGGGGTGGAATAACAAGTAGTGAAAAGGGGGAAAGGAGGGGAAAGGGAAAAGGGAAAAGAATTCCGACAACATCAGAGTTCTTTTTTGAGTCCCTTAAAGCTTTGGAGACGGAAAAAAAACGTAGAAAAAGACACAAACAAGTAGTCAGCTTGAAGAAAAATCGAGTATTTTATGCTATAATGGTGGCTAGTACGTGTTATTTTCAGTGTTTCTTTCAATTGTTCTTTGGAGGACTTTGTCTGCTTAGACGCATCCTTTTTGGCGCACTGAATTCAATATAAGGATTACCGTAGTGTCGCCGTGTAAAACTGAATGTTCATTGCAATCTAAAACGTAAACTTTTGAAGATCTAGTGCACTGATTTCCTTGCTTATACAGCTTTTCAGTGTGCTAGAAGCATTGCGTTTACATTTGTTCTTTAGAGAACTGCTTAAACGCATCCTTTCTAGCAAACTGATTTCAACTGAATCACATCCTTTTTGTGCATTCAAATGAACAAATTGTACTAGGTTACTACCGTAAATACTGTAATAGTACCCCATCCCCATAATGACGGTGCGAAGTGTTGCGTAGTCTAGCTTTGAACGAGTTTTTCTCGACACTGGTTTAAGCTACAATGAGCGCTTAGGTATCAAAAAATAGCCCTGAATTTCAGGGCTATTTTTTGATACCAAAGATAGTGATGATGCGGAGCGTTGCGTAGTCTAGCTTTGAACGAGTTTTTCTCGACACTAGTTTATGCTACAATGCGTGCTTAGGTATCAAAAAAAATAGCTGAAATTCAGGGCTATTTTTTGATACCTAAGCACGCATTGTAGCTTAAACCAGTGTCGAGAAAAACTCGTTCAAAGCTCGACTACGCAACACTCCGCACCGTCATTATGGGGATGGGGTACTATTACAGTATTTACGGTAGGTTCATTTGTGTACTTTGTGCTTAAGAAGTGTAAACACAATCTTTTTAGTGCACTCGGATAAGCTAATAGTTTGTGTGAGGAATTCTCATCGCAATCCAACTGCTCAGCTGATCATTTCTCGTCTCAAACTACACTTGAGGATTTTTAGGCAATTTTTAATCTCCATTCAATTTCTTCAATCATCTGATTTCTTATGAGAAAAATACCTACTATTCCCTTTTTTTTTCTCACTACAAATTGTTCTCTGAAGTCATATATCTCTTTTCCCAATCCATTTATCTTTTAATGTTTACTTTATTTTGCAAACATTTCGTGAAAACACATTTCTTTCAGAAGAACCCAACAACAATTACCGATTCGCGAATGAATGAAAAAGAAGGAAAAGAGAGAAAAGAGGGAAAAGAAGAGAATCCCGAACCCGCCCACTCAATCACAACAACAATGATCAGAGAAAGAGATGAAGATGAACAAGGCACAAGTGATAGTCAGTTTTCTAGTTGTAAACGAAATTTTGCTCTTAGCTTTTGTTATAAAGTCAATTTGAATCCTGTTTTTTAACTGAATCAGCGATTTTTTTTTAAACAACCCAGCTCCTTTTCTGACTCTCTTTTGAAATCCCCTTTTTCTAAATCATACAGTCTTTTAGATTATTTATTAATCTTATAACATTATATTTTGATGTTTGATTAGACTAGTTTCCTTGTTTGTTTGATTGGGTTGTTTATGAAAACATCCCTTTTAATTGACTGACAATTGACTTATTGCAAATTTTATACCCATTTTTCAGGCACTCTCCCAAGATCGGACAGTGACGCCTCAGAAAGCAGTCGACTAGGATTTGGATCTGATCCCGGCATCGCTTTTAAGGTTAGTAGATAAGAATAGATAAATTATAATGATAAATTATGATGATTTACCCAAATCCTCAATGAAAAGCTAGCCATTGAATGCTCAACTCGACCTTTGCCCTGTTGTTTACCTTTTTTCACATTTTTTCACCTTTTTTTCACCTTTTCCCATAACTGATTCATAAAAATTCTTCTCGGCTCGTTAAAAATCTTGGTTTATGCAGTGATTGACATCGGTTTTGTCGGCAATTGAAAACTAGATTCTATTTTGTTTTCTAACAAAATGTTTCTTCTCTGTTTTCTTCTCTAAATTCTCTTTTTAAACTTTGCAATGGAAGGGTTTGAATCAAAGATTCTCATCTAAATTTGAGAGAAAAAGATAGGAAATAGCGAATGATATCATTTTATATGATGATGTAGAAGAAAAATGATTCAATGAATTCAACAAAATTTCCTATTTATTTGACTATAAGAACTGTTTGGTCAATCACTTTTTATTTTGACTTTCATTTAGTGTACTTTAAGCTCAAATAAAACACATTTTTTTGGCGGATTGTTCTCAGCTTAAAGCGAGAAAGAAAAACAAATTAAGTGCACTAGGAAGGGAGTGTTTTGAATTTTTAGGCACATTACTTACTGCTTACTTGGAGAAGTTTTCAGTTTCAAATTTCGGTTTAAATCTAGACCTAATTGTCTAGACGAAATTTGAAACTGAAAACTTCTCCAAGTAAGCAGTAAGGAATCTGCCTTAAAATTGTAAACACTTCCTTCCTAGTGCACTTAATTTGTTTTTCTTTCTCGATTTAAGCACCTTGTGCACTAGAATAACCTTTTTGAGGTATAAAGCAAACAACTGACTAGTTGTATTTGAATCTTATACAATTTTAGCTTAATTACTGTGCACTAGTGCACTAGAAAGCGTATTTTTTCGAGATCTGCGTGCCAGGAAGGGTGCGTTTAAGCAGAAAATTTTCTCCAAAGAACAACGGCAAAAGCTTTTAGCTGAAAAGCTTCATGATCAAGGAATTGAAGATTTCTCTACAGATTTAGTTCATTTTCTCTACAGATTCGGTTTGCAAAAGTCAAAGAACAGTTTGCAGGATTAATAACGATGAAATGACTTTAAAATGACTAGAAAGAATCATCGATTAACATCATTTCCCGGTTTCCCCCTTGTTAATCTCTCAAACTCTTAATCTCCGATTCTTTCTTTTTTTCCTTTTCATGAGATCATTTGAAATCTGAAACCTCAACTAGATTTTTTTCCTGAAAAACATTTCAGAGTCTAGCTTTGAACAATAAAATGTAGGGAAACAGGATTCAGGGGAAAAAAAAAAGAAACCTGAATGGCTGTTTACGTTCTTTTTGTGTGGTCAATTTTTATGTAGAAACACCTGCGCTTATTCTTCATTTTAAAGCTATTTTTTTTGCATAAGAGAATCTAGCTTTCCTCTAAAAACTATTCAATTAGCAATAACAAGTCGAAGAATTTCGCTTATCAGTTTTTTTCTTTTCTCTTTTAAGACTGAAACTCGATCATTTGTTTGGAAAAAAAAAAAGCACTGTTTGGTGAACTCATTTCTTGCTTTTTCTTTTGCGCTTTTGTTCATCGATTTCTAAAGCAATTTAGCTCATTCTTTTAATGGCTTTGAAAAATTGAAACTTCTTTGAATCTTTTCTTACTTTTCCCTCAACAAGTCTTCAGCTAGAATCCCTACTTTGAGCTCTTGCATACTCATTTCTTTCTGTAGTTTACAAGAATGCCAGAAAGTGCACGTTCAAAAGCACTCAAAGTATCGATTCCTTGTTTGTTCAAACGTTCAAAGTACCGTTCAAAGTTCAAAGTACGTTCAAAGTACCGATACCGATCTTTGAATTGAATAATTTCTTGCAGTTAAACAAATTCGAGGCTGTACTTTGTGCTCTAATAAACGCACATAGTCTGGCACTTTCTGAATGGGATTTTGGCCTAAAAGAATTCAATCAATTTTTCAATTTTTCAATTCAATTCAATGAATTGCTAAGTGCCAGAAAGTGTGCGTTTCTGAGAGCACAATGTACTAAAGCCTTACTTGATTCCAGATTGATTGCCAGATTGATTTCAAATCTCGTTTGGCTAAAACTCAGAGCTTGATCTTGAAAAGCAATCATTTTACATGCCTTTCAGTTACCAATTTCTGAATCTCCTGTTGTAAAAAAACCCTTTGAAGTCGAATTCTTATACCTTTCCGTCAAATTTCATTTCCATTTCTCATTTGCTCAATTCACCCAGAAATAGCTGCAGTTTACTATGCACAAACTAGAAAAAAAAAAAGAGGAAAACACATTGATTTTCTCATTTTCAAATAGTTCACCTCGTTTTAGGTGAGCAACAATGTGATCTGATCTTTTTTTCATATTTTTAGGATCATGAAATTTTGTAAACATGCAATGAACTCGTTGTTTATCGCTTTTAGAATAGAGATCTCACAGATTTCGTTAAAATTTCCAATCAACTACTGGGAAATACAGTCACTATTTGATACTTTCTTTACTACATTGCTTACTTTGTGCTTGGCCAAAGGAAAGGCACAATTTCTGACACACTTAAACCTTTCTTCAATGTATAATTGCTATAAAATGAAGAATTAAATAAGCCAGAAAGGACACGGTTTGAGTTTTAAGCAAAAAAAAAAAACATAAATCTGGTCAAAGTACGAGCTTGTACCTGTAAAACTCGTCCCATTTTGACTCATGTTACTGACAACTTCTCTAATTTCATAAACTATTCATAATAAAGCAATTTGTATTTAAAACAGGCTTAGAATTCAGTTTTATAATTGATTCTTTTGTCGGTTGAGACTGGAAAATCAAAAAAAATTGGCTGAGATTTGAACCCGGGAACGCTCGCTTACTGAGTGAGAGCTCTACCACTGAGCTACACCTGTACGCCCCCTCTGCACCCCAGGATAGAGACTTATACTTTACCTGATCTCTAAATTGATCTAAAGTGACTTTTATCTGTTCACTCTCATCTTTCTCAATCATTCTCTAGTTAGAGATTGATCGTTTAAACGCACCTCAATTTAGAGATCAAGTAAAGTATAAGTCTCTATCCTGGGGGCAGGGGGTGTGTCGGTGTAGCTCATCTATTGAAACTTTCCTTCTAAACTCATCAAGCTAATGACGCTTTGTATTTAGATTTTAGCAAACTAGCTATACTTTCTCTGAACGAAAAATTGTGTTTACTATGCGTAGATCTCAAAAAAAAGTGATAGAATCTACGAAGAGAATTCAATTACGAACCTCCTTTCCTCGACTTGTTTTCCCCCGTTCCATGTCATCAAATTGGGATTGGGTTGTTTATGAAAACATCCCTTTTAAAGAGATTTCCCATTGCAAAATTCTTGATCTTTATGAATTTATCTATGTTTTCTTTTAATCCCTTGCCTATTTAACCAATCGAAAAACAACTTGTTATCCAGATTTTGAGAAATTCCTTGCGAATGACTATGGAAATTGTTTTTGTAACACTGTTGTTAGCTAAAATCTTGTTTTCCATAACAAAAATTTTGCGAAATTCGTTTTGATGACAAGGAAAATATTGCAAGATTTATGGGGTATTGCGTAGATTTTTCGGTAGCTTTATATACCTATATATAAAGCTATATATGTTCGGTAGCTTTATATACCTATACCTTTATATACCTTTATATAAAGCTAACCAAAAATCTACGCAATTTACTCATAAACTTATATAGGTAGGATTATTGGGTAGCTTTATATACCTATATAAAGCTACCCAATGATCTACGTATAGAAGTTGAATTCCTTGAAAGCTTTATATACCTATACAAAGCTTTATATACCTATACAAAGCTTTATATACCTATAGAAAGCTTTATGTACCTATAGAAAGCTTTATATACCTATACAAAGCTTTATATACCTATAGAAAGCTTTCAATGGAATTCAACTTGTTTTACTTCTCAAAGTTGGAATATTTCTTAAGTTGGTAAGCATTTCTTGATGCTTTAGTTAAGCATCAAATATCGGATGAGTTCTTTTCTTGAAAGTCTTCATTCGATTCCCCTTGTTTCATCGGTGTTTCAGCATCTAATCGTTAAGATTTGTCACCAAGCTTTGGACGATTCTTTTACTAAAGCTTTTTCACACAAATGCATTAGATTTTTGGATAGATTTAGTTAGCTAAAATGTGCTTCATTTACCCAACCATTCGATAATTCAATCAGTTGATCGTTCAGTTTACTTCTTTCGGATCTTAATCCAGTTACTTGATCGTTCAGATCGATTGGCTCAGCTGAAATCAACGAGATTTACCTCTTTAGTTATTGAATTTATCCAATTCGATTTCAGTTCAATCTCTGATTCAAAAAAAAAGCTCAGATTTTTCTATTTCTCACTATTTTAAACAAGTTTAATAATCTTTTTTACACGAAGAATCTTTTTTACACCAATGCTTTGATAGCTGTTTAGCTGTTTAGCTGTTTGGTTGCAATGCTATTTCCTACTCGATTTCCCACACTCTTTTCCCTTTTTTTTTTTTTCTAAATTTCCCTATTTCCAAATTCATCGAAAAACAAGCGAAGGGATTTCCCCGTTTTCTCACTTTTCTCCTCAAATCTCAAGCGTTCCCGATAAACAACAGGATTTCCGTAAAATCGAGAAAAATATATAGGGATTTCATTTGCAGAAAAAAGAAATGGGTGGGGCTTGCACCTCTTTTTGAGGAGAAAGGTGGGCATTGGGAAAAGGGAAAATTTTTGTTTTTCCCACACATTCAACCCATTCTCTTTTTTGCGTTGTTTTTGCCGTTGTTTAGAGTTTATATTTGAAAGGGATGAGTGTACGATTGTTTTGTTTTTCATTTTTATGAGCCTATTCACAATTTTCTTTCTACATTATAGCACCATGACTTTTTTTTTGAAAAAGTTTTAAGCTTTGAGCTTCTTTTTATTGACTTTATGATATAGTAGACGTGGTTAAAGTGAGTGCAAAATAGAAAACAGATTACGATTTGTTTTTGTCTTTTATTTACACGAATTTAGTCTACGAATATCTTTAGTAAACTCAAATAAAAGCTAATCAGTTTTCAATTGAAATTCTAAAGATATTCATTGTGAAGTGAAGCATTTTCCTCAGTTAAACTGTAAAAAAAAACTTGAGCTAACTGTAGTTTAGGTGAAATAATAATAGATTAAACGAAATAATTCAACTTCTAGACTCTAAATCCTTTCAATTCCTTAAGATTTTGTAACAAAAAGTTATTTTCATGTCTATTTTCAATCCGTTACCTTGTGTTTTCCTTTATTCTCCTATTCAAACTTGTTTTCCCCAAATTTCTTCACCAAAATATCAAAGCTACCTTTCAAATAAATGCTTTAATCCATGTTTACTTGAAGTTTTGATTGTCTACAAACGAATTGTAAACAACTAGTAAATAATAACAAATAACTAATGACTAGTACTCGATTCAACTTTATCTCTACTATCTACAGTACTGGACAATGAAATATGATATTTGAAAAAAGATCATCTCTTTCGCGCGGCTGTAACTCCCTTGTCTTTGAGTTTAAACTATTAGTGTTTAAACATTTTCTGAAAGCTCTTTTCAAGGGCTGCACAATGGTAATATTAATATTTAGAAATACGGCAAAGACAAGGGAGTTACAGACGCGCGAAAGTGACGATCGTTTTTCAAATATCATATTTCATTGTCCAGTACTGTATAATCAAATTTCTATCCGTCTGTGCGTGCACTACCTTTTAGTATTTTAAAAAAACGCTGAAACACGTGTCTAATGAAGTTTCATGTAGTTGTGGCTTTGCAAAAAAAATTGCAAAATATTAAAGTGACTGGCGGGGGTTGAACCCGCGTCGTGTGCGCTTGAGGCGAGCGCGCTATTCACCTATGGGTGCAATTTTGCATGTGAGGTTTTCCCACAGAGGGAATTCATTTCTGGCAATCTTCAATTTCTGCAGCAAATTCTGCTGATTCTCTTTGTTTCTATTCAAGGCATGTTTCTATTTCCAAGATTTCCTCACTCATCAAAGTATCAACCATTTCCCCATCTTTTTCCTCACCAATAAACCTCCTCTATTCCTTATTTGGATCAATTTCTTTTCTAAAAATATCTCTTTAACTTCATCTCTTGCTTGTTTTCGATATTTTTAGATCAGGGTAATCAAAAGAAATTCTTTAATAAACAATCACATTTCTTATCTGTGTATATTATTGTTTTAATAGTTTTAAAGAAGTTTCCCCATTCATTTCCTTATCATCTACCGTAAATACTGTAATAGTACCCCATCCCCATAATGACGGTGCGGAGTGCTGCGTAGTCTAGCTTTGAGCGAGTTTTTCTCGACACTGGTTTATGCTACAATGTACATTTGGGTATCAAAAAATAGCTGAAATTCAGGGCTATTTTTTGATACCAAAGACGCCTTTTTTAAGCGTACGGGTGCTTTGAAAAAAATGAAATACTAAAAAACTTTTGCGACTACTCGACTGTACGAGGGGGGTGGGGTACTATTACAGTATTTACGGTATATTTTTATAATTCAAATATCTCTTTATACAGTTATATTGCATTTAAATATATCTTTTTTTTGATTTGTTTATATGTAAATTTTGTTTTTAGTTAACACCGCCTTCCTCGTCGGGAATCCCGGGCGGAATGGTGGCTCAAGAGAACAAAACGCCACGCGATTTCTTTTTTGTGAAAACGATTGGTGAAGGAGCTTTTAGTACGGTCAGTTAAAACAATGTTTTTATTAGTTTTAAACGAAGAAAATCCATCTATCACCCATCAAATCCCTATCTAGTTGACGTCTAAAGATCATTGTTTCCAAGAAAACATCACTGGTTCCGGGATTTTCTGGATTTTTCTAGCAATTTCTCACCACAACCAGAGATAATCCCTTATTTTGAACACTTTTTTTTTCACTTTTAATTCCAAATATTGCCTATAAAATTGAGATTAGAAAGGCAAGTTTCAGAAAGGAATCTGAAGATGAGATCTGAAGATTTTTTTGAAGATCCGGATGATGTTCGGTGTTCAAAATTTTCAATAGAATAAGTTATTCCTGGTTTTTTTTCTTCAATTTTTGAATAGAATTTAAGTATTATTAGATTAGTTTTATTAGATTTGGCAAATGATCTCTGCTCCCTTTTCCCTTATACTATACTTGATCTCTAAATCGGTCCAAAGTGACTCTTATCTGTTCGCTGTCATCTTTCTCAATTATTCTCTAGTTAGAGAGTGATCGTTTAAACGCACCTCATCTAACGAATCTAGAATAGAATTTAAGTATTATTAGATTAGTTTTACTAGATTTGGCAAATGATCTCTGCTCCCTTTTCCCCAAAAATAAACACCACCCACATGAGGCGGAAATTTACTATGACGTGAATTGAAAATAGAACCAAAAAAAAGGAGAAAATGATGATTCAACTAAAAATAAAAGATATTCAGTTAATTGAAGGGAATTGGAAAAGATAAAAACAATAATAATTGGCTTGGGAACGACAGGTGAAAAGGAGAAAGAATGTTTTATTATTTTAAAACGAAAAAAACGTTACTCATTCATTGGATAAGTTCAAAAATTGACAAAAATCGTTCAGATTTAAAAAGAGCAAAAAAAAGAATATCAAAAAACTAGCAAAATGTGTTTTGGTTTGATTGAATTATGGAGATTTGAATAAAAAAGAGTTTTCAATTGAATTAATCCTCAAAATTGCAGGTTTGGTTTGCTTGAATTGTGAAAATTTGAATGAAAAAAGCTTCAATTGAATCAATCAATCAATCAATCAATCAATCAATCAATCAATCAAATTCTAGGTCTACCTCGCAAAAGAAGTGACAACGAGCAATGAATATGCGATTAAAGTCATCTCAAAAGAGCTCATTCAACGACAAAACAAGAACAATGCTGATGTGTACTCGGTGAGAGATTGTGATTCGAATTTCGAATTAAAGATTAACTGTAAAAGCTGACGATTAACTGTAAAAGATTACTGTAATCAGTCTTTTAATAATCAAAAGTTAATCTTTTACTTTTATCTTTTATAAATGCCTTTTCTTTTGCTTCAATAGATTTAGGAAGATTATTCTCGTTGCTGAATTTTAAATTTATATAGTATTTTGAACTTTACAGTATTCTTTATCTTCCCGATTTCAGGCCACTCATGTAATCCGCGAGAAAAACATCATGGCTTCTCTGACTTATTCCCATGGAGGCCATCCGTTTGTTGTCAGTCTATATTGTACTTTTCAGGATCCAGAAAGACTTTGTAAGTTGTAAACAATGAAAATTTCTATTTATTCTTAAATCTAGACTTTGCCATGTCTTACTGTAAACGAGGCGAGCTCTTGACAACTCTTCAACAAGTCGGCGCCTTTGATATGCCAACAACACGATTCTATGCGGCAGAGATTCTATCCGGGCTTCTTTTTCTGCACAAGTGAGATTTGAATGGAATTCGGATTTATTTATATGATTTGGAATTTAGATGCAATGTCGTACATCGAGATTTGAAACCGGAGAACATTCTCTTCCAAGACACTGGCCATATTGCGATCAGTGACTTTGGATCGGCGAAGATGATGGATGAGATGAGTGAGTGAAAAACGAGAGATTTCCATGCGTCTTACTGCAATGTACAGTCCAGATTACTGTAGAAACTATTCAACTAGTTGAAAGTTTGAGTCCATTATGCTAGGATAGTTTACAGTAAAGGGCAAATTCTCAGAAATATTTCATGAAATCTTTCCTTTAGACAAAGAAGACCCAATCATTCGTCCCTCTGCCTCATTCGATTCGGAAGACGAGAATTTTCGATATGGAGAGAAAATCACTAAAAGGAGATCCACCTTTGTCGGTACAGCTCAATATGTTTCCCCCGAAATGTTAACTGGAGTCGGAGTTGGGCCAGCGTGAGTTTAAAAAAAAATTATTGACTTTAGAGAATGGAGGTTAGAGTTCTAAAAACTCTATTTACTGTATTTATTTCAAAAGGCATTTCAGTTGTGACTTCTGGGCCTTTGGCGCAATCATCTACCAAATGCTTTCCGGTCAACCCCCTTTCCGAGCCGTTAACGATTTTCATATGATGAAGAAAATTCAAACATTGGACTACTCATTCCCAGAGGGATTCCCTGAAGAACCAAAAGATTTAGTGGCAAAGATGCTGGTGAGTGGAATCATTGGATTGTTTCAATGTAACTTTTCGATTCCAGGTGCTTGAGCCATGCGATCGATTAGGAAGTCCCGACAAGGGTGATGCTGAGGGAATCATGGGACATTCATTCTTCGAGGAAATCGCCTGGGATTGCCTGCCTGAAGTGAGTTTCATGGGAAATAGATTTTAGAGTTCTGAATCTAAAAGACATTATCGAATTCAGCTTGAACCGCCAACCCTCCATCCCTATTTGCCGGCGCAAGGAGAAGAGCCTGCCTATTATTCTGAGCTTGCTATAGAGCCGGGTTTGGACGAGAAAGCCTTAGCTAGATTGATCGGATTGCAGGAATTCGGTGGACAATCGTAAGTTTTAAGATCTACTGTACTGTAGAGATGTAGATGTAGAGTACTGTAGAGGTGCAGAGTACTGTAGAGTACTGTAGAGATATAGAGTACTTTACTGCAGAGTACTGTAAATAAGGATTTCAATCTTTTTGCTCTTAATCTTGGTCTATGCAATGATTTATTTTAAAGTTGTAAACATGACACTAGTCATGCATTGAATCCGAATTTTCAGAACGAATTACTCAATCGATGAAGAGATCGATGCATTGATGTCCCCCCCAGCAACGACTCCCTCAGCCGACAAAAACTTCAATGTTTCAATTGATTCCGCAAAAGCCCTTTTCAACAAGAATGAAAGAACACAAAAGAGAAATGAATTATTGGAAAAACAACGAACAGAGAATCCATATCATCGGTAATAATTGGAAAATTTCAAATCGAAAAACAAAATTTAGATTTGTTGACGAAAATTTGATATTGAAGAGTGGATTTTTGGATAAAAAGAAGGGACTTTTCTCGAGAAAACGAATGTTTTTATTGACTGAAGGCCCACATTTGTATTATGTAGATCCGGTGAATATGGAGCTAAAGGTATACTGTAATTTGAATGCATTTGCAAATCCGATTTTCCAGGGAGAGATCCCATGGAGTTCTTGTATGAGAACGGAGATCAAAAACTTTGGAACTTTCTTCGTTCATACGGTTAGTGATCCACTTTTTTTTATATGAAAATTTCGTATTTCAGTCAAATCGAACTTATTATCTGTATGACCCAGAGAAACGATCCGTTGATTGGTGTCGAGCGATTGATACGGTAAGGGAAAACTCAAGAATAGAATTAAAGCTATAAAAACTAGAGCTTAAAGCCTGTACCTGGGAGAAATGATACATTTTTGAATAGTTTTTAAAAAGCAGATTCAAACCGGGTTACCAATCTGAGTCATTTCCTTCTCTTCCCGTTGTATTTCCTTTTTCTTCGCTGATCAGAAGATACCGGATAGCTCAGTGGTTAGAGCATCTGTCTGTAAGTTTTGATGGTCGAGATCGAGAAATCTTTCTTTCCCATCTTAACTTTTTACAGGCCAGATTACAGGCCAGATACAGACCAAGCCAGATAATTTTTGTAGACAATGACAAGGCCTGTCTCTGGCTTGAACTATCCTGGAGTAACCCTAAATCTGTTAGCTTAGTCGGATGCAAAAACAAAACTTGATTCCGTTAAGCTGATTAAGCTGTAAGTAACACAGATTGAGAATAGTAGGTAAAAATTGAGATATTAACACGCCTAATCAGCTTAACGGAATCAAGTTTTGTTTTTGCATACGACTAAGCTAACAGATTTACTCCAGGGTAATTCAAGTCAGAGAGACAGGCCTTGTCATACTTTTTTCATCAAACATTGACAAGATTCAAATGAAATTTTAGGTGAAAACCCGTTACGCAGCTGAATTGGCGGCTCTTGGAAACGCTCAAACCGTGGATCCATCGAAATACAAAAAGAAAACTCAGACATCACCAAAAAAGTCAAAGAAAAAAGAGACTGGAAAGAAAGGGAAAGAGAAAGGAGAGAAGATCGAGAAGTTACAAGAGAATCAGAAGATAATGGCTTGAGTTATCAATCGAATTTTGAGTTTAAGCATCAAATGCATTGGATTTAAATTTTGGTTTAAAAAACTAGATTCAAAGAGTTGAATGGTATCTGAATTTTCTAGAATTTTAACAATTCTTAAATAAGAAACAGTTGAATCCATAAAAATTGCTAAATTTTCTTTGCCAAATGGCTTGTGCTTACATTTTGTAGTCTTGTTGTATCAGATTTTCAAATTCTCGATGCGCTTTACCTTGTAATCACGTGAGAAATCGAAATCTCCAATGTAATCCAATGCATTTGATCTTTACTTATTTGAAATTTGTTTTTTTTTTTGTTTTGTTTTTCTTTTTTAATGATATTTCCTGCAAGTCAGGGCGATGATTTCTTTGAAAATTTACGGGTTTTTTTCATCAATTTTTTCATCAATTTCACCAATAAAAGTGTGATTTTACTCAATCGATGAAGAGATCGATGCATTGATGTCTCCCCCCCCAATTGATGCAACCACTCCCTCAGCCGACAAAAACTTCAATGTTTCAAACTGTAAATTTCAAATTGTAACGCTCATAAAGCAAAATTTTCAAAATTTTTAATTCTTTTCTTAAATTGTAATCCCATAAAGCAAAATTTCGCAAAATTTCGCAAAAATTTCGCACTTTTTTTCTTCCGCTTTTTCTTCCGCTAAGCCAAATCATTTTTTTTTTTGATTTAAATCATCATTTTTTGTACCCTTTTTTCTCGTTTTTAATTATTATTTTCAGTGATGTAAAAATTTGTCTTTTTTCTTTTTCAATTTTATCAACAATTACATTGAAAAATTTCCTCCTTCACCTCAATTTTTTGAACTTTTTCTTTTCTTTTCTTTTCTCCTTTTCTTTTGTCGCTCACTTATAGGTATCTGTCAAAGGAATTCTTTGCAAAAAAAAAAGGAATAAAACTTATTCATAATTCATACTTAAAAAGAAGTGCATTTTAAAGTTTAGATGTAAAAAATTGCTAATAAAAAGTCTAAGATTGGCTTAGAAGTTTCCAAATTTATCTAAAAGTTTACACCAATTAAATCAGAGTCCAATTTGTTAACTGAATACAGGGTGCGCCAAAAGTTCCCGTACTTTTATTTGCTGCATTTTTGGTAATTTTAGATAAAAGATACGATTTTAAAAGTAAGAAATTCGAATTCCTCGCGAAAAACTGATTTAGAAAACGTTTCTGGTTAATTTATAAGTGCAACGCTATTTAAGACAAGTGATTGAGAAGAGGGTCCGTCCAGGGAAGCTTTGGTCGCACAGTTACAGGGCACAGTTACAGGGCACAGTTACAGGGCACAGTTACAGGGCACAGTTACAGGGCACAGTTACAGGGCACAGTTACAGGGCACAGTTACAGGGCACAGTTACAGGGCACAGTTACAGGGCACAGTTACAGGGCACAGTTACAGGGCACAGTTACAGGGCACAGTTACAGGGCACAGTTACAGGGCACAGTTAAAGTTATTTCCTTTGATGGAAATTTGTGTGGGAAAACCAAGTTCTAACCTGACTTCCGACTCGGTCGTTGACCAAAACAAAACATCCAATATAAAAAATGTCACATTTTATGTCTAGTTTTCGAAAAACATCTTGGCTCCTGAAAATCTTTTGATCCATAAAAGTTACAGGCCTAAAGCCCCAAAAAAGCAAAGACCAAAGCGCCCCTGAGCGGATCCTCTTCTCAATCACTTGTCTTAAATAGTGTTGCACTTATAAATTAACCAGAAACCAATTTCCTCCTTCACCTCAATTTTTTGACTTTTTTCTTTTCTTTTCTCCTTTTCTTTTGTCGCTCACTTATAGGTATCTGTCAAAGGAATTCTTTGCAAAAAAAAAAGGAATAAAACTTATTCATAATTCATACTTAAAAAGAAGTGCATTTTAAAGTTGAGATGTAAAAAATTGCTAATAAAAAGTCTAAGATTGGCTTAGAAGTTTCCAAATTTATCTAAAAGTTTACACCAATTAAATCAGAGTCCAATTTGTAGAATGAATAAAATGAATTGCGCCAATCGATTCGCTGATCTCGAAAACCCCCGATACAAATTTACACCTCAATAATTTCTTTTTAAACCATCTAAAAAGCAAAAGAAAAATCGATAAATATAAAGATTTCTATTGGCAAGATGTTCTTTGTGCTCGTCCACAATCGCTCTCGATCTGGCCCATCTCCGCAGCACATAGCCAGCTCCTCTCTTCCCTGGCATCTCGTTTCTTTTAGAGTCGTTTCATGGCTTTGCTTTGTCACGTGCTCTTCTCAAATTCGATCCAGATCGTTGTCGAATCGGCCTCGTTTTGCGTTCAATCAAATTTTGTCAGATGAGAAGCGAACCCCCAAGTGGGCAACAATTTTTGGAAGTCCTGAAAGGGACAAAAAGAAACTGAAAGCCAAGGCAGATGAACATTTCATTGAAACAACTAATTTATTGCAATTAAATTCAAAGATCCATCTGGATCTATCACATCAGGGACCAATTACCCATTCCAGTCAAATCATCTGCCAGAAATTTCCCCGACTACGTGCCAAAACCATGTATAATTGAATAACAGCTTTCCTTTGCGATCACTGACTCCTTTTCGATCACTCGAACCAAACTTCTTTTCCATTTCCTATCAAATCTTTTTGTTTTGATCTTCTTCCCAAAATGGGTCCAAAACGTGTTGCTGCAAGTGGTGGGCATTCTTCTCATTCAACTTCGAAGACTCAAAGCCAAACCTCGCAGCTCACTTTCGTCACGGAGATCTTCGACAAGTTAAAGGTTACCTTTCAAGTTTAATAGCTTAATACTTGGTTTATCAATATTTATTGAGATAATGCATATGAAATGGCTAATCCATGTAAATTTCTCCACCAAAGCAGCTAGCTAATTTCTGTTTTAATCAGAAAAGTTCTAAACTTAAGCTAATAACAGGGAAACTTTTTTATTTGACATGAAATGATGAAAAAACTTTTCAATGATTCAACTCAACTCTGATATTCTTTTGAGCCAAATTTCTATTAGCCAACATAGTTTTGTTCAAAGATTTCTCTGTATCAATATATTTTTTAAGTCTTGAAAATAATTTGAAGCGATAAAGCCTAGGATTTCTTAATGAATTAGCTTTTTTTTTATTCTAAACGCTTATGCAAATGATTATTGCTTGAAATAGTTTTTTTTCCACAGGAATCTTTGGTTAAAAAGCTGATCATTGGATAACTTTTCACTAGCAATAAATCATAAAAGAACTTTTTTTGGAATCTAGTGATTGGAAATCTGAAAAAAGTAACCATTTCACAGGCATTGACCCAATAACTTAAACTTGACAGAGAAATCATCAAATCAAAGCATTTTCCAGGGTACTTCTTTCGAAGAGCGTTACATTCAAATGCAAAAGATGCTGACAGTTGAGAAGAAATTTGATCCAGATAGTCTTGTTAGCAAGGTTAGTCATTGAGAAATCTAAAGGCTTAGAATAAATCTAACTCGAATTCCCTTTAGATGTGCTTGATTCGACTCTCCATCGAGCATGACATGCCACTCGGGACGACAAGCAAAGAAAAAGTGAATGCTATGTAAGTGATGACTAGGAAAATCATGAAAAGGCTTAGTTTAACTGTAATTTTAAATGGCAATGTATTCAATGATACAAGACAGATTTTAGAGCAGGAGATGCTGAGCTGCAACAAGAATTGGCTCGTGTCTTAAGCTATGGCGTTGAAAAGCAAGGAAACGAGTTTCTAAAAGCATTAAGAGAAAACCCAGAAGGAGAGAAATTTGGAGAAAGAGGACCGCTTGGAACACTTGATGGTTCGTTTAAATGGAATGGAAAATGCCAACTATAGGGTGTTCAATATTTATGGGGATCATTAGAATACTAGTCTAGAGCTTTGTACAATTTTAATGCTCAATACGCCTAATGTTACTTTTTCCAAGTTATTACCTTCTACTGCTTGTCTAGAAACTTGTGAAGGTCGGATAAATTGAGTTTAACATAAAATCTCGTTAAGTTCTTTTAGAAGAATCAAAACTGAAATATGATTAATGTCTTTAATGTCTAAGAGATTCGAAAACTGCTAAATAGTGAAGGTTTTTTATTGTTAAACAAAAATAACAGGGATCTGACTTCTTTTGGTAAAATTTGATGATCAATTTTTGGATGAATCGATTTTGGAATTTAAAATCTAGTAAACTGTAAATAACCTAGAAAATTGAGGTTGTTTCAATTGTTTTCTTGATGGGTTTTTTTTGATAAATCAATTTTGAGAGCGTTAAACAACCAGTGAATAATAAAGATTGATATTTGAAATCATAAACATTGATATTTGACATTGATAAACATTCTGTAGATGTAACTCAAATGCTTTCTGGAGATGTTGTGATGAAAATGGTTGGATCGGCGATGAAAAAGATGTCAAATATCGATCGAATTCTACTTCTTTTCGACTTAATCATTCTCCGAATTGATCTTTCCTCAAAATTAACATCGCTTTTCTCGAAGACTGTGTCAGCGTTGGCAAAGGATGATTACCGGAAAATGGCTTATGAAAGGATATGTGAGTCTAGCAATTCACAATTGCCTTATTATTGCAAAATTTTGAAACAGACAAAAACCTTTTAGTACCTCGCATTCTGCTCCTTCAACTCTATCACTTTGACTCAAATTCGTCAAAGTGTTGGATGAGTAAATGTTTTGATAAAGAGACAGCGCAAACAGTGGCAAGACTTATTGTATTGGCTGTCGGCAATGAGATCAGGTTTGCTTCTTCTAATTCAATCAAATTCGAATTCGATTTTCAGAGACAACATTCGAAATATCAACCTTGGCGATTTCTTGGAGTACACAGGGATTCTGATGTGTCGACTTTTGGAGATAGCTCAAGATCCAGTCTATATGAAGTTAGTTTAATCCAAGATTCAGTCTATATGAAGTTAGTTCAATCCAAGAGTCAGTCTATATGAAGTTAGTTCAATTCAAGATCCAGTGTATATGAAGTTAGTTCAATCCAAGAGTCAGTCTATATGAAGTTAGTTCAATCCATGATCCAGTCTATATGAAGCCTTTTGCAAAAGAAAGTAAAACTTTAACATTTTATTGAGAGATATTGAATAATTACGATTTTCTAGAGAGGATCTTCGCACTGAACGTGAAAAATGGTTAGCAGAAGGGAACGGATCACCGACTCTTCTTTTATCCAAGCTTTGCATTGAACCTAATGATTCTATGGGTGAAGATCGATTGTCTTGGAGTATTTTGGGGATCATTCTGCACATTCACGCGATTTATGGAATGGCTGGTGGGTTTAACTATGATCAACAATTGTTTTGGCTTTTATGATTGACTAGTTAGACTTCGTTATCGTTAGCTTTCGTTTTTCATTAGCTTGTACAAGAATATACCGTATTTTCTCTAATAGTAGTGCAGTCTGTAATCGTAGTGCAGTTTTTCATTAGCATCTGTAATAGTAGTGCAGGCTGGAGGGGGGTTGAAAAAATAGTAGTGCGCACTACTATTACAGAAAATACGGTAGTTGCAAGAGTTTTAGGCTAAACTTTAAAATAGAAATTATACGAAAAATATGAAAATATTTTAAAGTATGATGTTTATTATAGATTGTTCCAACTGATTCTAGAGCCACTTAGGTTTTTAGACTTTTGTAGTAGTAGTAGTAGTAGCGACTAGTAGCGACTAGTAGCGACTAGCAGTAGTAACAAGTAGTAGCGACTTTTGAGAGAAGTCAATGAAATTCAGCTTTAACTTGTAGAAAATCTTTGTGCTAAACTTTTCTGTAAATTTTCATTTTTGCTAAGAAGTTGCTAAGCGTTGTGGCGCTTTGTCAAAAAGTCAAAAAATGGTACTTTACCGCTCCAACTAATTAAAGACCCACTCTGGTTTTTGTTTGTAGTTGTTTTTCCGTTTTTCATTTATTTATTCAATTCATTTTACTTTATTAAGTTATTTGAAAGTAATGACAAGAGGTGAAAAGCTCTTTGAATTTGAGAAAGAACAGATCCAAGCATTTAAACATCGATAATCGGGAAATTGCCTCGACTTTTGCAGTCAAAGCGCCACAACGGTTAGCAACTTTTAAATGAAAATGTACAGAAAAGTTTTCTACTAACCAAAGCTGAATTTCATTGAAAAGTCTCTATTGATCTTTGAAAAACGTAAGTGGCTCTATAATTAGCTGGAGCAGTGCATAAGGAAAGCTTGAAAGCTCAACAATTCCTATTTTCTTCGAAAATCATCGTTATCTCAATTGTTGAACTTTTAAGCTTTATGTAATATTTTCTCTAATAGTAGTGCACCCAGAGCGTCGTCTAAATTGATCGAAATCTCGAGAAACGCTTATCAGAACCTATCGATGTTGGGTCGGAAAATGTAGCTGACGATGTGATCTTGTGGGGGATTTGAGTGTTGAGCTTCTAGGAAAACTTAGAAACTGTAAACTAGTGATCAACTCGGCTCACCGGGAAATATTAGGGAAATAGATCAGTCTGATCTACTAGCCTAACCTGGAATAATATACCGTCTTCTAATAGTAGTGCACCCAGAGAGTCGTCTAAATTCCTCGAAATCTCGAGAACCGCTTATCAGAACCTATCGATGTGAGGTCGGAAAATGTAGCTGACGATGAGATCTAGTGGGGGATTTAAGTGTTGAGCTTCTGCGAAAGCTTCGAAACCGTAAAATAGTCACCAACTCGGCTCGCCGGTGTGCACTACTATTAGAGGAAATACGGTAATCGATTTTCAGACAACATTCTCGGTCTTCACTTACCGAATCTCTTTGGGACAAATGTTCGCTTGCCGCATTACGGAGACAAATTAGCCTCTTTAGAGATGGATGATGTGATGATAACGAAGATTTTAGAAAGAATTGGTAAAAATTTCAAAGATCTTCTTTCAAAATCATACCGGAACAAAAGGAAAAATTGATTACAGGTGGCCCAAAGATGATGCTCAACTTTGGCCAGCTCCTTCATTTAAGTGCCGAGTTCGACTTTTCTTTGAAAATCATCGATGAGGTGTCTAATAAATACTTAATTTAAAATCTTAATCTTTAGTTTATCAATGATTCAAATGAGTTCACGGATGACACCTCAAAATGTCGTCTTTTATTCCTTAAAATCTACGCTTTATTGGGAACAAAAAACTATAAAGAGGTGAGAAAAATAAAAATTTATAGGAATTTATAGGAATTTCAATTTTTGTAATGTAAAAAGTTTTAGGCTATCAAATTCTCAATAACTTTGTTGAAGCAGATGCCTTTAGAATGGATTGATACGGTGAAATCGGTTGGTTTTCCGAAATTTCTTTACTTACATCTTTGATTTAAACGATTTTTCAGTCTCGTCACGTCGAAATCCTTGAAATGCAAAACGTTTTCGCAATCGAACGATCCGATGGATTCCCATTGGGCATCGTTCTTCTCCAATTCGCACTTCTCGAATATGTCAAGAACATGAATTTTCAGGTGGGTAATAGAATGAAATATTATTGGGTTGTTGAAGTGAAAGCTGCCGGACTTTGAACTAAAATTTATTCAACATAAAACCATCAATTCATTCCAAATAATTTCCATTATTATTGACGACTTCTGCCCATTTTACAGGCAATTTGCGGATTCCTCTTTCGGCGTAGGATTTTGGTTTGTGTGTGAGACAAGTGTGAGACTCAAAAATGGAGGACTGGAGATGTCCCAGTTTGAGCACTTTCTTCAAAAGAAACCCATTTTGGTGTCAATAGAAAAGTTGTAGAGAATCAAAAATTAGGCTTATATCCAAATTTCCAAAAAGAAACACTTAGTAGTTTCGCTTAAAATGCAAGTTTTGTGAAAATTCGTCAATTTTGCATTTCTTGAAAACCAGTTTTTGAATCTTTCTGAAAATTTGGTTATAAGCTTGATTTTTGATTCTCTACAACTTTTCCATTGACACCAAAATGGGTTTCTTTTGAAGAAAGTGCTCAAACTGTCACATATGACAATAGCCGGCAGTTTTCAATTCACCAACCCAATAGAATGAAATAGATATTAATCTAATAATATTAGATCTAATATTAGATCGAATATTAGCTCCAAACTTTAGCCAAACCAAACCGCCATCTATTTGCTAACATTTTGTGAAGAGATTCGACAAAAATTCACAAAAAACTGGGCACCTGATGTAAATGGAGTGATCAGAAGAATTCAAGGCACTGAGGTTAGTTAAATTTTAAAGAAAAACTTCAAAAAATCCCTTTAGAACTTAAAAATTGTCTCTCTTTTTCTCGACTATGCGAGGAGTGCGCATTTTTGTAAAACTTTGAGTGCAAGTGAATCGCTCAGTGATGAGGAGAGGATGAAATTAGCGATAAAGAGCAGGTAAATGGCAAAAGAAATTGAGCAAAACCTATAATTAGACTTAGAATTAGATTAGATGTACTAATGAACTAATGAAAGTATCTTAAATTGTAAACTGTAGAATCTTGTATCCAAGCTTATCCAGAAAATGTTTATAAAGTTGCTTCAATCGAAAAAAGCACTCAGACTCAGACTTGTAGCCTAGATCTTTAACTCTGAGATAACTCTGTAAAGCATTCTGTATCTTCAAAGTACCCAAACAACTTATCAAGTTTTTATCAAGAGAAACCTTTAGAACCCGAGTGACTCCATCTCACCAAATCCATCTCCTCCATCACTTGTTATCTCATCATCCAGAGATCACTGAAATCCTCACAAATCCAAGCAATCAAGTCAATATTGGAGAATTGAGTGAAGAGGGAATTAGACAATTCAAAGATATCATTACATGGATTGAGACAAGACCTGATTCGGGAAGGTCCACTCCTGCTGTACAGGCAAGTTTCAATATTTTCAATACTTTAAAGATCCAATTTTACAATAGATTTTAAAGCTTTTAATGGTAATAGTATCTTAGCATTAGTTAAATCAAATCAAGAACTTCTAGGTAGCTGAAGACGAGGAGAATTCTCGTGGTGGAATGACGTCATCGACTCGTCGAAGCAAGACACCGATGTTCTTTGATATCGCGATGAATGATGAAATGATGGAAATTGACTCATCTTCCTCAAATGAGACAAATCGAGGAAATCCTTTTCAAACGGAGCCTTTTCTGTCTGCCAAAGCTACGGTTAGTGTTTGATTGTATTCTATGAAATGGTGAGAAGGTTTAAGATGAAAAGTTCTTTAGTGGGATAAGTCCTTCAACGAGTATCATGCATTGAAGCAATTGTATGGGAAAGGAAGTGATTTTGATGAATGGTCAGATGATGATATGAGAGATTATGCAAAAGGGATTATTTGAAAAGGTTTTTAAAAGAATTTTTGTTGATTCAAGAAGCAAATATAAAAGGGAAATAGGAAATTCTAGAACACTAAGGAGGCAGGCCTCGCCGCGCGCCGCTCTGTCTGACCTAGGCCGCTCTGTCTGACTTCTAGGATCGCCGTCTGGCTCTAGGCTTCTGTCTCTGTCTGGCTTTAGGCATCCCCGGCTTCGGCCTGTCTTCTGCCTTCTAGGCCCTCCGCGGCCTTCTTCTTGTCTGGCTTCTAGTCCAGACAAGATAAAGGAAGGAACGCAGGCTAGAAGCCAGATCCAGTCTATCAATCTTAAAGTTTTTGAAAGATTAAGTAAGAAACTCAAAGATAGAGTTGTGCAACAAGAGAAATTCGATATTCAAAACGAAGAGGTAAATTTAGGAGGTTAAAGTTGGAAGTAAAAAATGGTTGTCGAAGATTCGAGTACAAGATGAATGAAGAAGAGAAAAGTCCTTATTTTCTTTAGTATTTTGTCTAATGTACAGCTTTTTCCTTCATTTTATCGAATTCAAGTACTTTTCCCTTATAAGTGGATCTCCTTATGCTCCTTTACCTTTTGTTTACCATCGATCTCTTTCCATTCGCCTTTCCCCCCTTAAAAGTCACTTTACCAAGTCAATATCCGGCGATAGATCATGTTTTCTATTCGAAAATGTGTATTTTCTTGATGGTTTTTAAAACTTTAGTCAATTTTGGTGTTGGTTATATTGTTGATTTCATGTTTTTTGAGCTGAAATAAAATCTAAAACACGTGTAATGAAAGCAGGTGATTTGTAAATGGAAATCGAGAACTTTTAAGACCAAAAATTATTAAAAGAAGTCGTTGTGGAAGTTTCTAAATTTTTTTTAATCTAATTGTCACTGATTCTTTATGATCTTTATGATCTTTCTTTATGATAATTGTCACTGATTCTTTATGAATTTTTTGCTCTAATTGTCACTGATTTATATGTAGCTTTTGTAAAGCAGTCATTAGTAGAGAATTTGCCTTACACCATTCTACTTTCTAGCAATATGCAAACTATGAAAAACTTTTGTATTCTTGTATGGAAAATCTTGTCGATCTTTTTGAAATTTTCGTTTAGAAATGAATGATCAGCCGATCAATCGGTGCTTTACTTTATATAAAAGAAATTAACTATTTATTGGGTTGGGGAGAATGAGTCGGCGCCGAAAATGAAAAAAATGTCTAAAACTTCTATTCGACTTCGTCAAATAATATGCGTTTGATATGAGTAGAATGGTTAACGAATTCTCTACAAAATGACATTTAAAAGAAAATTCAAACAGCGCCTCCGCTCAAGAAAAAGCCATTTTTTCACAAAAACTACAAACTGTGATCTAGAAAAAACCATTGGTGGGATCTTCCTGCAAATTTGGCAACAAGTAATTGAATGTGCTCTATCTTTTTTATATAAACACCAAAGAAGGTTTATGTGAAAGAAACTGTTCAAATGATGAGTCGGACTCTTTGCCATTTTAACCAGCTGCGTTTGGAAAGTTCATAAACTCCACGAAAGAAAAGCTTTGTGGAATCTCTCAAAAGTGATTTTGTAGAGAAATAGTGGATCCTTTTGATGAAACCAAACGTATGTTTAAAGAAGGCTTTATGTGTGCAAAAAGTCCCTTTAAAGTTTGGCGCCCACTCATTCTCCCCAACCCAATATTTCATTTAGCTCAATTTTATCCGAGGCAAATCCGAACAGAAATACTTGTTTCTCTTAAAATCCTTACAATGAACATAGAATGAAAACGGCTTTTGAAACGTTATGAAAATTAGTCTATCTGTCTAGCTTTTCATTCTCTATTTTTGTCTTTTGACATCAAAATAGGTCTCTATGACAAAAGATGCTCAAATCAGAACTTTGAGTTTCATCGTTTTTGATTGTTCGACTTCACAAATTTAAAAAAATTAACTAACCTTAAAGAGGAATTTGTAAATAAATAATAGAACTTCCTGATAAAATAAGCCTTAGATCGATTGGTTTCTTTATTTATTTCAAAAAGTAATCTTTAAGACTTTCCGGTCAACATGATAATAACAAGTTTATCTAACAGTTGTTCTGTCTAACAAATCGTTCGATATTCTTCGTGAATCTTTGTAGAATTGATTAAAGTAGATATATTAAATCAAATCAAGTCTACAGTCGTTTTTAAAAACTGGTAGGCTTTCGAAAACGCAGTAGGAAGTCACTCTAGTCATCTAGTCATAAGCAATTTGTAGGCAATGCCAATTAGGAAGTTCCAGAAATGTTCTTTTTCTGCAGCTCGTGAAAAAGTTATCTTGTACCCTAAGCGGGTGAAAAGTCGCATCGAATTGGCGGCTCCAAGTGGTCATCGGGGAATTCGGAATGGACGAATGGACGGACAGCCCTGGCAAGACAAGGCAGAGGCTCTTCATGGGAGAGATGGGCCCTTCAAGGCTGAAATAGATGGAGGGGGAACAGAGGGGAGACACCATCAACAACCACCCCTTCTCCTTCTTCTGATCTCTTTTCCATTCCTTTCCCATTTCCCCATTCTCTCGTCAACCCCACATCGATTCTCAGCCATTAACTCCCATGACTTTAGTCACCCGTCATTTTTGAAGTATTCTTTGAATTTACCCATGTCTTTTTTTCTTTGCTTTAATTTAAACTATCCAAGTTGGTATCAATTTGGTGCTAAATGCAGCTTTTGATTTTATAATTTGACAGCTGATTCATAGCTTTCGAACTTATCGCAACCAATATTCTGAAATCTTCAACTTATCGTAACCAATTTCTTGAAATCTTCAACTTATCAATCTTTTCAATTCTTCAAATCCAAACTTTCTCCAATCCTTTCTTATTTTAAGCCTTGTCTAGTCTAGCTTTTAGTTATGTCCATCAAAGTAGCAAGACAAGGGGAAAGCTTTAGAGAGAGTGGCCATTTTGAAAATTGGGCACCCCAATACACGCATGAATGGACAGACACAAGTGAAAGGAAAGGGTAACGAAAAGTAAAAGAAAGTAAAAGAGAAAAGAAGTGAATGAGAGTTGTTACTATTGGGCTTTTATGTAAAATGTTTATGAATTACTGCAACAATTTGTTCGAATCTTTTAAAACTAAAACCAAAACCTTTCTTTCATAATTGTAATCTGATAAAGCCAGGTAAAAGTCTCATAAAAAAAACTAACATCTTTGCGCTAAAGATTTTTATTTAATCTCATGATTCAGATCCTTTAAAACAAGCTAGAAATTATGTTAGGTTTCGATTTTTCGTTACCCGCAAAGGGAATGAGTTCTCTTGTTTGTCTGGCTTCCTTTCCTTTCTTGGGCATTGGTGCCAGCTGTCCCACCAAATCCCTCCTTCAGTCTTTTCCAGCTTCTATCGATTATTGCATTCTCTTCAAGCACTTTGTGAAGCTAAACTATATATAATATTTTCTCTAATAGTAGTGAACCTCACCGAGCCGAGTTGGTGACTATTTTACGGTTTCCAAGCTTTTGTAGAAGCTCAACACTCAAATCCCTCACTAGATCTGATCGTCAGCTACATTTTCCGATCCCACATCGATAGGTTCTGATAAGCGGTCCTCGAGATTTCGATCAATTTAGAGGACGCTCTGGGTGCACTACTATTAGAGAGAATACGGGATTTGGCAATCACTGGATTCAGCTAAAACTATTGTAATCTAGAGATTAAATGCCTGAGAAAGAGATATCATCTCACAGATGTTACCGTAATCTGCCAAAGCTGCTTGCTCTATTCTCTTTCTCTCTAATAGTAGTGCACCCCCCCAGCCAAGTTGATGCCTATTTTACGGTTTCCAATTTTTCCCAGAAGCTCAACACTCAAATCCCCCACTAGATTTCATCGTCAGCTACATTTTCCGACCCAACATCGATAGGTTCTGATAAGCGGTTCTCGAGATTTCGATCAATTTAGACGACGCTCTGGGTGCACTATTATTAGAGAAAATATGGTAACTTTGTTTCTCCAACAACAAAAAGTTTGATGCTTGATTGCTCGATAAAAGCTAGCATCATTTAACCAATCAATTTCATAATTTGGTAAGCTTTAGGGGAATTTGAGTGAATGCTTCAAATTATGGAGTGGTTGTCGACGTTAGGTGCTTTTCGATGCATTGCGAAATTTGAGCCCATTTTCCTGTCTTCTCTTTTCCTCCTCACCTCGAAACTGGCATTCAATAGCATAAAATTTCTACGGGACTTTAGCTAGCTAAAATTTATAAGTTTATAAAAAAACTAGACTCTTGACATTTCATTGATGATTTAGAAAAATTCCAAACTCTTAAATCTTTCAGCTCTAGCTTGTTTTCTTAAAAACTTTTAGAACAATGCCTTCTTTCTTTTCGGATTTTTCTCTAGTTCTCTTGTTTTCTATATTTTTCATTCGCCATTTGACTTTGGGAACATTTCCATTTCCGTATTTGACTTTTTAATATCGAAGACTTGTTAAACGGCAAGATTACCACTGAAAGTTGTGATTTCACTGCTTTCCCTTGTTATAGATTGAAAGTTAATCACATTTACTAGTTACATAATCGACTGTAGCTTCTATAACTTCATCACTGACATGGGTTTTTATCCCTTTTTGTCCCTTTCAGGACTTCCAAAACTTGTTGCCCACTTTGGGGTCGCTTCTCTGACAAAAATTGATTGAAAAAGCGAGACCGATTTGAAAACGATTTGGATCGAATTTTGGGCGAGCACGTCACAAAGCAAAACCATGAAACGACTCTAAACGAAACGAGATGCCTGGGAAGGGAGGAGCAGCCTATGTGCTGAGGAGATGCGCCAGATCGAGAGCGATCGAGAGCGCACAAAGTACAGCGTTCGTTTCGTTCTTTTTCTTCATTTTCTTTCGATTTTCCGGGAATTCGGGAATTTTCCGCGAAAGGAAAACTTTCAGCTGAAATAAGTTTTCCTTTCCTCTCCCTTTCTCACTCGTGTAATTTCATTATTTTATTCTCATTGCTTTCTCGATTTCTGCGCTCAATAGCTTTACTATTTTTTAGAGAATATTCTTTAAAAACTTGCATCTTTAAAGAATCTGACTTGATTTAGGACCAGTTACTTCTACTTCTCAAATAACGATTATGGCGAATCCGTACGAGGTGAGTTTCCATATCGAAAAGGTTTAAAGCTTGAAAGGATTTGTTAAATGGTAATCGGTATCAAATTCTTGATGTTTAAGTTATACCCATTCATACAGAACTATAAAATTTAGCCCTCAGCTCGTACGGAGTCTTATCGCGTGGCGACGTTGAAACAAGAAGATGAGAAAGTGAATGGACAAAAGCTTGAAACAGTTTTGGTTAGTGAAAAAGAATTAATTATGATTTTGAATGCATTCTAAACAAAACGATAAATGAATTAAATATGTAAAACACTTTGTTTGATGTATTGGGTTGGTGAATTGAAAACTGCGGGACTTTGAACTAAAATTTATTCAACATAAAACCATGAATTCATTCCAAATAATTTTCAATATTATTGACGACTTCTGCCCATTTTACAGGCAATTTGCGGATTCCTCTTTCTGCGTAGGATTTTGGTTTGTGTGTGAGACAAGTGTGAGACTCAAAAATGGAGGACTGGAGATGTTCCAGTTTGAGCACTTTCTTCAAAAGAAACCCATTTTGGTGTCAATGGAAAAGTTGTAGAGAATCCAAAATGAGGCTTATAGCCAAATTTCCAAAAAGATACACTTAGTAGTTTCGCTTAAAATGCAAGTTTTGTGAAAATTCGTCAATTTTGCATTTCTTGAAAACCAGTTTTTGAATCGTTCTGAAAATTTGGATATAAGCTTGATTTTTGATTCTCTACAACTTTTCCATTGACACCAAAATGGGTTTCTTTTGAAGAAAGTGCTCAAACTGTCACATATGACAATAGCCGGCAGTTTTCAATTCACCAACCCAATATTTGAATTCTCTAGTGATCTCATAGCATCAGCTCAACAAAAATCTAACAAATGAGCGTGAATACGTCAAAAACTCTGTGTTTTCATTCTTTCAAATCCCAGAAAGATTAAATAGAGAGATGTTAAATTTAGGAAGCTGATGATAAACCATTGATTGAGAAGAATAAGGATAAAGAAGAGAAGAAAAAACGTGAGATGGAAGAAAAAGAAAGAAAGAAAGCTGAAAAGGAAAGGAAGAAAGCGGAGAAGAAAGATGGGAAACAAGGGAAACCGGATTTAGATGATCTGAAGAAAGAAGTGAATATGGTGAGTGGAGTATTTATTTAGATTCAATATTGTTTAACTAATCATTTGATCTTTTAGGATGTTCACACCGTACCCTTGGAGACTCTGATTGAGAGATATTCGACTAATCCTCAAATTGTATAAAACCCAACACCTTTTAACAATAAACAAACAATTCAGGGTCTTACTGAGTTGAAAGCCAAAGAGATCTTTGCCCGTGATGGCCCGAATGCTCTCACTCCACCAAAGAAAACTCCAGAATGGGTGAAATTCTGCAAGAATCTTTTTGGAGGTGAAATTTTGAAAAGAATTTTGTTTTATTTGATTTTAAAATTCAGGTTTTAAAAGAATTTTGCTTTATTTTATCTTAAAATTCAGGCTTTGCTATGCTACTCTGGATCGGCGCTGTTCTATGCTTTATCGCTTACACTGTCGACTATTTAAGTATGGAGTACCCATCAAAAGATAATGTAAGAATAGCAAATTATCTCATAAAAAAATTTGATTCAGTTATATCTGGGTATGGTGTTGGCTGGAGTAGTGATTATCACTGGTGTTTTCCAATATTATCAAGAGAATAAAAGCTCAAAGATTATGGATTCATTCAAGGATATGGTGCCCCAGGTAGGACTTAAAATTAAGCAAAAATTTCGACTGAATTTAAATCCAAAATAAGAAATTTACTTTGAATTTAGCAAGCAATCGTTTACCGAGATGGAACAAAGCGTCAAGTGAAAGCTGAAGAGTTGGTGCAAGGGGATTTGGTTGAGATAAAAGGCGGAGATCGAGTACCGGCTGATGTTCGAGTTATTCATGCACAAGGATTCAAGGTTTGTGTAAAACGTTTAAAATCAAAAACTTACGAATATTTAGGTTGATAACTCGTCACTTACTGGTGAATCAGAGCCTCAATCCCGCTCAGCTGATTGCACCAATGAGAATCCACTGGAAACCCGAAATTTAGCCTTTTTCTCAACAAATGCTGTTGAAGGAACGGCTATGGTAAGTCCAAAATTTATTATTATTATTTATATTTGCGACATTTAATTTGATTTGAATTTGTTTTGATAATTACAGTACCAATTACAGTTACAGTACCAATTACAGTTACAGTACCAGTTACAGTTACAGCACCAGTTACAGTTACAGCACCAGTTACAGTTACAGCACCAGTTACAGTTACAGTACCAGTTACAGTTACAGTACCAGTTACAGTTACAGTACCAGCTACAGCTATAGTACCAGTTACAGTTACAGTACCAGTTACAGTACTAGTTACAGTTACAGTTACAGGATACTTTTGATAATTGTATATGCTAATTTGAATCCGATGTCAATCAATCAATCTAGGCCATTGTTGTGAACACTGGAGATCGAACTGTTATGGGACGAATTGCACATTTGGCTTCTGGATTGGAAAGTGGTGAGTAAAATATTGAAAACAAGAGATTCATTAAATAAGATATCGATTTTAAAGTCAAAAGGTCAATCCATTTTTGTAGGTGAAACCCCGATCGCTCGCGAGATCGCCCATTTCATTCACATCATCACTGGGGTGGCCGTTTTTCTCGGTGTTTCCTTCTTCATCATCGCTTTTCTTCTTGGATATCATTGGTAAACAAATTTGAAAGCATATTTCCTTGAAAAAGTTTGTGAAAAACATAAAAACAAGAAAAGTTTGCATCAAAATATCCTGGAGTACTGGAGGCCTCGAGGTGTTCTTTGTGTGTGCGCACAATCGCTCGCTGCCTGGCATATTCGTCTGGTAGAAGGGGCTTCCTTTTTAGAATCGTCAAAGAAAAAGAAGCGATCAGCCACTGAGCCATTTTAGCCGCTTTTACCGTCACTATGCCCAAATTTTTGAGAACAATTTTTGGCGGCTTAAATCAGTTTCTATTTTTCTATAAATTGCAAATCTTGTTAAACTATTTTGTTACTCGAATTAAAGTTGTTTACAATTCGGTTTAGAAGATTGAGACTCATTTTACCCATTTCCAGGCTGAACGCTGTTGTTTTCCTTATTGGAATTATTGTCGCCAATGTTCCGGAAGGACTCATTGCAACTGTTACTGTAAGTTTTTTACAAAAATTTTCCTTAATTTATTGAATCCTAGGTTTGTTTAACTCTGACGGCAAAGCGAATGGCGTCGAAGAACTGTCTTGTGAAAAATTTGGAAGCTGTCGAAACTCTTGGATCAACATCGACGATTTGCTCGGACAAGTAAATATAGAATAAATATAGAATCCCGTTCTAGCTTGTAAGCGGTAAAAAAAAATTGTAAATTGAGTATCTTTTAGTTTTCATAGGAAAGCCAGCAAATGGGGCAGCTACGTTTTTCCGTCGTAGTGCGTAGCTGCCCGATTGGTTGGGCTTTGTTTTGAAAATCGAAAGGTATTCAATTATCGGCTTTTTTTTCCGCTTACCGTTCATCCCGTTTATATGTCGTAGCCGATTATGAATGAGTGGATCTAGGAGCGTCCAACCATCAAGTATTTAGTATCATTCAACGCAGAATCATTGATAATTATGTTAAATTTTTGAAATTAGAAAGATTGGATAAAAAGAACACAAATTATGGGGCTTCAAAGTTTTCTCTTGAACTTAAAAGTTTTTGGCTCTAATTTTTTTTCTTTTCAGCAAATCTTGCTAATTTTAAAAATTTAACATAATTATCAATGATTCTGCGTTGAATGATACTAAATACTTGATGGTTGGACGCTCCTAGACCCACTCATTCATAATCGGCTACGGGGGTCCCGCCGATTTTGAATGAAACGTTGTAGCGCCGGCAATTTTTAACCTAAACTCACAAATTTGGTACCAATCGACGCAGAATTCAATTCGCTACAAGATCATATAATATTGTCCTCATACATTAAAGGGTTGCTCTACTAGAAAGATTTGCCAAAAAATTTCATTCATAATCGGCTACGACATATACACCGTAAAATTTAGGACTGGTACATTGACTCAAAACCGAATGACGGTGGCTCATATGTGGTTTGATCGCGAAATTATCGAATTGGACACAACGGAGACACAAGAAACGATCAAAGGGAAAGATCATCCCGCTACACAGAAATCCCTCTTCACCGTTGCGGCTCTTTGTAATCGAGCTGAGTTCAAGCATGGACAAGTGAGCTGCATTCGCGTTAAGGAAAAAAAGATCTGCTTCTTTGAGAGCTTATTTACTATTCTTGAACATCATCTTAATCGTTCTGAATATTGAAAGACAAATACTTTGTACAAATTGTCACCTTATAATTGATTCTTATATTTTAATTTTAAAATTTAGGAAGAATCTCCAATTCTGAAGCGAGAATGCACTGGTGATGCCTCGGAAAGCGCTCTTCTGAAATGCGTTGAAATGCAAGTGGGAAATGTGACTGAATGGAGGTTAGAGAATCAAAAATATCCTATTATTAATATCCATTTGTTTAACTTTCTAGAAAACGCTGCCAAAAAGTCGTTGAAATCCCGTTCAACTCAACGAACAAGTATCAAGTGTCGATTCACGAGAATGAGAACGGAGAAGGGTACTTTTTGGTGATGAAAGGAGCACCAGGTAATTGATTTGATCTGTAAAAATATAATTCTTAATAATTCAGAAAAGATTGTCGATCGTTGCTCAAAAATTTCGATTAATGGAGAGGAAAAGAATTTGGATGCGAAGGAAAAAGCAGCCTTTAATGAAGCTTATTTGGAATTGGGCGGAATGGGCGAAAGAGTGCTTGGATTTTGCGATCTACAGCTCGATCAAGAGAAATTCCCGAGAGGTATGAGCTAAAAGTGCAATTTAAGTGCTTCATTAAGCCTTTAATTATCATGATATGCTGAATTTTTGGGTAGCAAGTTCAGTAGGTGAAAGTAAATTAGCGTAAACATGATCGAAATTTGTTTAACTGTGAAAATTCTTACTTAAAAGACTTTCAAAAAGAAGGAAAATCTTGAAAAGGAATTGTCAACTGAATATCATTTATTTAGGCTTTGTTTTTGACACTGAAGAGATCAATTTTCCGTTGGAGAACTTGCGTTTCTGTGGACTAATTTCAATGATCGATCCACCGAGAGCCGCCGTCCCAGATGCCGTCGCGAAATGTCGATCAGCTGGAATCAAGGTTTTTAAGATCAAAGACAATCTTATCGGTTAATTGTACCGTTATGATCGACTGGCTAAGAGCCCTGTATCTTAGTCGGGAGGTCAAGCGTTCAATCCCGCCGACTATTTCTTTCAACTTACCACTTTCAACTTTTCGAAACCGGACCTAGCTACAAAACGCTCCCAACGAATTCTAAGAAATATATTTTTATTTTTCCTTAGTTTCTAGTTTTTGAGAAAAACGCATGCAAACTTAATTTCGGCAAACGAAAAGGAACGAACAGCAGTGGTAACCTAGGGAATAGTGCGCTAGTCGATAAAACTATGCCATCTTTGCTCGCGAGTTCTTTCCGCTTCCGCTCTCAGTCAAAGTTTTGGAAAACACTTTTGCCTCAAGTGTTTGCAGAAAAGAACCCGTAGGAGATCTTTGGAACCTTTAAAACACTTAAATGCCTATAAAAGCAGCTTTTTATGTTTCAGCTGAAGTGGGCTTTAGTTTCACGGACAATGGCCGCCATGGCCGACTGGCTAAAAGCTCTGTAACTTAGGAGATCAACGGTTCAATCCCGGCTAGGTTATTGGTTTTTTTTAAAATATATATCGGTTTGTATATTTAGGCTTAAGGGTTGTATTGTTTGTGCCATATTATTCGTGTGAATGAATGTATTTTTAATGATTTCCAGGTAGTGATGGTGACCGGCGATCATCCGATCACCGCTCAAGCTATTGCGAAATCCGTTGGGATAATCAGTGAGGGAGGAACAGCCGAGGATATCGCTTTGAAGAAAGGGATTCCCGTTGATCAAGTGAATTTTGCAACGCTGACTTATTGTGTCTTTGAAAAATTAGGTTGATCCAAAAGAAGTCAAAGCGATCGTCATTCATGGAAGCGACTTGAGGGAAATGACAGCCGAGCAATTGGATGAGATTTTGATAAACCATGATGAGATTGTGTTCGCAAGGTTGGGGATTTCGACTAATACAATTCATCGTGATCATTTGTTTTTGTGTGAAAATGGAAGTATTCAGTCATCAAGCCTGAAGATTCCAATTCTTCAAATAGAGCTATAAAAATGTTCAGTGCTGACGGCTGAATACTTTCGATTCTTTGATTATACAACATTTAAAAATGTTCAGAACTTCACCGCAACAAAAGCTGATGATTGTCGAGGGATTTCAAAGACAGGGACAAATTGTGGCTGTGACAGGAGATGGGGTCAATGATTCGCCAGCACTGAAAAAAGCTGATATTGGAGTTGCAATGGGTGGGTTGAAAAGTGCATTGCAGTAACCTCAATTTCAGGAATCGCTGGCTCGGATGTCTCAAAACAGGCGGCTGATATGATCCTTTTGGATGACAATTTCGCGTCGATTGTTACCGGAGTTGAGGAAGGGAGATTGATTTTTGACAATTTAAAGGTATAAAGCTTTGACTTTCTTTGACTAGAAAAATTAAGAAAAGAAATTTAGAAATCGATCGCCTACACACTTACCTCGAATATCCCAGAGATTTCCCCATTTCTCTCATTCATTCTCTTGGACATTCCACTTCCATTGGGCACAGTCACCATTTTGTGCATCGATTTGGGAACGGATTTGGTAAATTTTTGATATTTGAAGACTTACAAAAATCTGTTAGAAGATAGAAAATGAGCAAGGTTTTGATGATCCATTTTGTTGATCTTGTAAATGATCTTTTTCAGTGGCCAGCTATTTCATTAGCTTATGAAGAACCAGAATCGGATATTATGAAGAGAAGACCGAGAGATCCAAAACATGACAAATTGGTTAATGAAAGGTAAGAGATTTGCTTCAATTCAAAATCAGGGTTGAGCTTTGAATTTTCTGAACTTTTGAGACAATCTTTGAGTTCACGATGACTAACTAGGACTGAAAAATACTATAAAATTCCATATTCTGGGTCAATATGTGACTCAATTCTTGCTTCAGATTGATTTCCCTGGCATACGGTCAAATCGGAATGATTCAAGCGTCAGCCGGCTTCTTCTCATATGTGGTCATAATGGCGGACAATGGTTTTATGCCATGGGATCTTTTAAGTAAATTATTTGTATCAAAAAAATCAGCATATAAAGAGTCACTATTTGAAAATAACCCTTTATACATTGGCTTTTTTATAGAAAACGAGTCAAACCCATCTTTTAGCAAATAGCTCTTGCTTTCTAAAGCTCAATGAACTTCCATGATGATGATGAGCTCAATGTATCTTTAGAAAACAAGAGCTATTTGCTTAGAACTGACTCGTTTTCTACAAAAAGTCCATATCTAACCAATTTCCAGATCTTCGTGAGCGCTGGGATTCGCGAGCGATCAACAATTTGGAGGACTCTTTTGGACAAGAATGGGTATATGATTTTGGTTTTGAATTTAAACTCAAATTTTTCCAGACTTATGCAAATCGAAAAGTTCTTGAATACACGTGTCACACATCGTTTTTTGTCTCAATCGTCATCGTTCAATGGGCTGATTTGATTATCTCGAAAACGAGAAGGAACTCGTTGATTCAACAGGTAACGAAAAGAACATTTGTAAGCCCTTTTCACTCATTTTCGAATTTTGCATAAGTTTATTTGATTTTGAATGCAATACAGCCATTTTAGGGTATGTCCAATTGGACTCTCAACTTCGGTTTGGTGTTCGAGACGACTCTCGCCTGGTTTCTTTGCTATTGCCCTGGCTTGGATAATGGCTTGAGGATGTATGGATTGAGGTGAGATTCTTGAGAAAAAAAATACCAAAACAAACATTAAGATTTCTTTCAAGTATCATAGGAATTAAGAATTACAAATCAAAGATGACCCTAATAAGAAGAAAACACAATAAAATGAGCTCTCAAGTTTAGATGAATTCATCAGCGTTTCAATTGGTAGACTCAATTAAATGAATAGCTCCAATCGATTCCCCAATCCCGAAAACCCTCGGATACAAATTTATAGCTTAAGTTCTTTTTTGTATCATCTACAAAGCAAAAGAAAAATTCCTGTAAATGATTGGCGAGGTGTTCTCTGTGCGACCGCGTAGTCGCTCGCCGTCTGACAAACCGCTTCTGTATAGAGGGCTTCCCTTTCAGAGATCTCTAAGGAGCCACTTACGACCTTTTTCCAAGAAAATCCTGGGTTGGCGCTTTAAAGCGTGGTAAAACTACCGTACTCCTCCTGATCTGCAAGTATAAAAGAAAGTGCGCAATTTCATTCTTTTTCTCTATTTCTAATATGGTTTTCTTTTTATTCTCGATGAGTGTGGTGATGACACAAATTTGTAGAAGGAATCGAGATTTGTAGATTTGTAGAAGGAAGAGATACAAAGAGATTTGTAGAAGGAATCGGTACATTAAAAACGGTGAAACTTATTTGCAAATGGCTCTTTATCCACACATGGGAGCGCAATTTTAATCGTCTTACAAAAATCGTTCCACAAACTAACATCTATATCTTTATTTTTTTGAAGTCAACATTCTTCCAAAGCCATTTTTTCGACCCCGCCCCTTTTCCCATTCGCAATCTAACTTTGAGCTCAAATATCTTGGTGTTGGGCTGTCGAATTTAAATATTCTTGATATTTGAATATTGAATGCGCCATTTTTTGCCCAAAAATGCTTCGAAAATTAAATGCAAGTTGGTTTTTTGTTGCAAAAGCGACAAATTCTTTGCAGAAAATGGAAAAATTTCTTTCGTTACATACCAAAAGATTGCTGATTCAGTTCAGTTAAAAGATTATCGTTGTTTCAGAATAATTACTGAAAGACAAAATAAAAATGGACAGTGTGAAGACGCTTAAGTGCAGAAATACGCAAAAAGAATGAAATTGCACGCTTTCTTTTATAGCTGCAAATTAGAAGAGGTTTTACCACGCTTTAAAGCGTCAATCGAGGATTTTCTTGGAAAAAGGTCGCAAGTAAGACGAGGGATTGAGCTTTAGCGCTCGTTTGGGGGTCACTATATCCAATTCCTTGAAACAAATTTCGTTTTTAATTTGGCTGAATTTTCGCTGCAAATTCTACACCCTTTCAAACCATTTTTTCACTTAAATGAGCAGCTAAACCGAGAGAACAATGCGATCTTTTATTTCTTAATATTCTTAAGATTATGCCCTTCCAAATCCCAACAATTTCCAGATGGTCTTGGTGGTTTCCGGCTCTTCCTTTCTCACTTCTCATTTTCATCTATGATGAGGCTCGTCGTTTCTGTATCCGACGATATCCTGGTGGTTGGGTGGAAAGGGAAACTTATTATTAACATTGAAAACTACAGGAACTTATTCACACTTTTCATTTTCTTTATACTTTCTTTGATCTCTTGTAAAAGTTTCAATAAATCGTTTCATAAGCACAAAATTTTAAACGAAAATATTAGGATCTTTTTTAGAGACAAATTCTATTCCCTGGAGAACTTCACGTCAATTTAGAATAAGAAAAATAATCTTTGCGTTCAATAAAACCAGAGCTGACTACAGTTGGAGTTTGGTGATAAAAAGAAAATTAAGAAAATTTATCATACTCGAAAAGTTTTTCTATATTCATTTCACCATCAAAACTCCTGCTTTATTTGTATGAATTGATGTGATACTTGAGAGATTTCCATTGATTAGCGGACCATTCAGCATTTTTCCTCGACCAAAGTGATTCAGCAATGAGATAAACGGAGCCAGCACTGGACGCCGGTACTGAAAATGTCAAACTATAGTATACAGGGTAGCGCAGAATTGTACACACTTCAGAGGGCCTAGATTGACCAAAATTGGCTCAATCCTTCTGATTTTTCTGGAGGCAAATCTTAAGAATGTCTGTTGAAACGGTGCGCATTATCTAATCGATTCAAACTTTCAACTTTTTTATATAGCCTTTCAAAGTTGAGAGCTCGTGGCCCGGCACGCTACTGATTTATGGGATTTTGAAGGTCTTTTTTTGCTAAAAAATCTTTAAGATTTTAATGCTTTTTAATTAATCATATTTATTTATAAAATTTAAAAGCTATAAATCTTGAAAAATAGTATTTTCTTGTTCTTTAGTGGCTTCTCTGAATGCCTCATAAATTTCAAGACCATATTAAGTGAGTTTTGGTGACATTTTTCAAGAGCTTTTGCACTTAAACTGCGTAGAGCATTTGAAATAATAAATTCAAAATTAACATTAACATAATAAATTCTATTTTAACGAGATTTTGACAAGGTCGCTCTCAAAAATCCCAGTAAAGAGCGAAAATGGCTCTCAACTTTGGAAGGGTATTTTAAAAAGTTGAAAGCTTGAATTGATTAGATAATGGGCACCGTTCCAGGAGACATTCTTAAGACTTCCCTCCAGAAAAAATCAGAAGGATTGAGCCAATTTTGGCTAATCTAGACTCTCTGAAATGCGTTGCTATAATTGTGGGTCATTATACTATAATAGTATAATGTATTTATCCTATCAAAATAACAAATTAATTTATTTTAGCTGAATCGATACAGAAATGAGAAGTTTAGCATACCTCTTTTAAACAAATAATCACAATCCACGCAGTCAGTGTCGCGTAAAGATTTGTCCCAATTTTGAGGGTTAATTGATAGATTGTTATGTCGATATCACCCAATTTCCAATTCGGATTTTCATAACCGAGAGTTGAATAGAGATTCGGAAGAGAGGAGATGAGAGCGGCTGAAAATTACTCATGATCGAGCGCCGGATTGATTCAAAAGCCATTTTTGAGTTTGATTCGGTTTTTTCGATTCAAATCCCATGTTAATCCTTTGTATCTTTGTCAATTCAAATAGAGATTTCAATGAAATTTCAAATTTTAAACTTTAAAGTCTCTCAATTGCAAGCTACATCGATTCTGATTGCAGATTTGTAGTCTTCATTTCAAGCTAAGTAACCTTAAAAAAATCTCATCTTAAGCTTTTAACCTTCACAAGAATCCACTATATATAAAAGAACAGTCTGTCCGTCTGTACGGCTTTTTCTCAGGAATTTTAGAAAGTCTCAAAATCTAAGAGTTGTGCGATTTAAAATAGAAAAACCAAAGTTCAGTGGCACTACGCAGGGTCGAACCCGAGCCGTGTGGGTCGTAGACAAGCGCACTTCGATTGCGCCACGGCTAGAAAAACCCGCTGCTAGGCAGGTTGTTCGGCTTTTCGGCCCAACCAAAATTCTGCAGCATTGCCGCCAGCACACTCCGAATCACTTTCGCTTTCAATTGAGCATTTTTCGACAACGTATTTTGCAGATACAAGATCACGAAAAAGGACAAATACAAGAATATGGTGGCAAAGAGAAAACCAGGAATACATTTACTCGCATATGTATTCAGCAAGGCATTCGGTTGTACGGTCGCGTATCTAGAAAAAAAAAAGTCTATATTAAAAGAAAAGTTCCTTACGCAATCGAATAATTGCTTCCTTTATACATAAAAGTGACATCAACCCATCCTATAATATAAATTGAGAGTCCGACACTCCAACCCCAAATCAGAAGGATGAATGGGGAAACGAATTTGAAGCTCATTAGCTGAAAAACACTTGTAACAGGTTTCAAAATCAACTTTTTAGCTCACTTTAGCTGAACTTACTGAACTGAACTTACTCTTGGAAATCTCTTCCTTGCAAATAACATCCCGAACCGTGAAATAGCCAACAAGAAGTTCCATAATTTTGTTTGACAAGAGATTCCAAGTAGAACAACTTGAGTCACTTTTGAGAAGAATTGGATAAACGATGGGAAATATAATAAAGCGAGTCCCCACGAAGCTGGCTCTTTCACTAAGATCTCGCAAAGGCACACGAGAAGCTCACAGAGCACTGAAAGGGATTTACATTTTCTAATCCTCAATGACTCCATGACCGACTGGCTAAGACCGACTGGCTTAGTCGGAGGGTTAAGGGTTCAGTCCCGGCTAGATTTTTGGTTCTTTTTTCTTTCTTATATTTAGGGCTTAAGGGTTGTGCTTGTGTATTGTTTCTACTATATTATTCGTGTGAATAAATGTTGGAACAGCGCCCTTTGAAGAAAGCTACAGGATTTTTATGCAATCAACGAAATTTCGTTATTATTCGATGATTTACAAGATTTATTAAATGATGTCCAAGCTAGCAAATCAAATGTGGGATTAGGGTAGCTTTTAGAAATCAGAACACAATCTAATGGCCATTAAAACGATTGGGTAACTTGTACGACTTTAGCTTATTAACAAATGAAATTTCTTTTTGGAGAGACAAGACTAAACTCACAAATATTGATCAAACAAGTCTCATAAAATTGATCGAATTTCGACGTCTCGAGAATTGCTTTTATCAGTAAACATTGAATGGGAATTGTTGTGAGAATATGAACATCAATCACATATGAAACGATATTCATTACAAGATATAAAATTATCTCCCTTTTGAATAACAATTTTCTGAAGAAGAATTCGAATTACATGCAAAAATCTGTCGAGTGGTCAATTAGAGACGACTACATCAATTTGAAATGAACCGGGTGATGTAATTAAGAGATTTTTTGTGTTTTTGAGATGTTTGTTTCAAAGCACAAGGTTTGTTTTCTAGAAAAATAACAAATTCACTATAATTAAAACGAGCAAAATTGATCAAAAACCTCGTAGACTAACCAAAAAACAATGATCTTTCATGTTAGTGAGAGACAGCTATGATAAAAACAGAAAAGAACATATACCATATCAAGTAGAAGTAAAAAATACAATTTTGGGATAATCAGAGTCATAAGTAACTAGTAATTCTTTCATGGAAAGGGTGAGCTAGTTCTTGAACTATAATAGTAAACTATGATAGTAACATGAGTGAACTATAATAGTAAACTTCCTTAGCTACTGTCTTATACTTATAAGTTAGAATCCTATTTACTTGCGGTTTAAAGGGGCTGGCGCGAAAGCGGCGTGACGCGCTTTCTAAAACGTGGAGACGCTACCGTACCCCTCACAAAATCTCCCCTTTTGCCATTCTTTTCATTTTTTCGGAATTTCGATGGAGTCGTGAATGTTGTCCGGCTTCTATGCTGAGTCCCGCTAAGTTTTCTTCCTCCTTCGTAAAATTTATTATTTTCTTGTAGCGCGTTTTTAAAGTACCCCCTCTCCCTTCGTTCGTTCCCTCCTTTTTATATTATTCTGCCTAGGTTTCTTGTTCAAATTTCTAAAATCTTTTGTTTTTCGTTTCTCTCGTTTCGTTTTTCCCTTCTACTCTATTGTCTTCGAATCTTTTGTACGTGCCCTATAAACTTAGCTTAACCAATTTTCTTTCAACTAAAACGCATAAAATCTACCAAATCAAATTGGCGTAGTCTTCTTAGTTTTTGTGTTGAATTATTTTAGAAAAAAAGAACTGGTGAGTGAAAATGTATTGGGTAAGGTTTTGATAGTTGCTGACTTATACTTAAAAGTGCTCTTCCACAATCATTGAACAATTAAATTCTTTAACCTTTATCAAACCTTTCCTTTTTCCAATTACAGGTCACTTTTTGGGGGAAGAAAAGTGATAAGACCTCTTCATACCTCGTTTTCCCAAGTTTTCTGTCCTTTTGGTGTAAACACCGTTTTTTCTAAAATTTGCGTAAACAATCCGCGTTTTTTTTGGCGTGGCTGGAATTGAGTTTTTTCAATTTTCATGATTTTATTAATTTTGTCAAAAATTACACAACCCGTCTCTAAAATCGCCTAACCTTGTCATTTACCAGTTTTCCAAAAAACAATGGTTACTAAAAAAACAACTGATTTCAAAAATGCAACTTTAAAAAAATTATTTCTTTTTAATTTTAATTAATGAACTTTAAATTCCTTTTATTAGGTTGGTGCAGATGAAACTTTCGTCGCACTTGTTTGTTTATTTTTTGGACATAATAAAAGTTTTATTGAATATATTTGTCTATCTGAAAGAGCGTCTCTTTGCGCGTCTTTTGATATCTAAGACTTATGCGTTTTACTTAATTTTAAGTAATTTTTAGCTTCTAGAAAATGTTTGACCAAAAATTTCGAGTGCTGGCTTGCTTGTTGTATGATTTTAAACAAGGCAGAACGGCTGCCGAATCTCATCGTGCTCTGTGCAAAGCATTCGGCGATGACGTGTTGTCCGACCGTCAATGCCGGACTTGGTTTCAGCGCTTCTAGACGTCTATGAAAGTTTAGAAGACGAAAGTCGTGGGAATCCGCCTCCAATTGTCGACAACGACGAGTTGAAGAACGGTATCGAATCGGATTCATGCCAAACAACTCGGGAGCTGGCGGAGCAGTTTGACTGCGACCATACAACCATTCTCCGCCATTTGCACGCAATTGGTAAGACGAATCGGTGTGGAAAATGAGGGCCACATCAGCTCAGCGACGCAAACAAGGCGGCTCGAGTTACAATGGCTGGAATTCTCGTCCGCCGCGCAAAGACCCCCGGTTTTCTCGACACCATTGTTACGTCAGATGAAAAGTGGATGTGTTATGACAACACAACGAGAAAACGGCAGTGGTTGGAACCGCCAAAACCGAATACCCACGGCAAAAATGTGATTTGGTGGAACAGTAAAGACCTCGTGTATTTTGAGGTGCTGGATTTGGGCCAAAGAGTTACGTCGGGTCTCTACAAAGCCCAATTGAGCCGCGTGGACCAGGCGTTGCGTCTTCAAGGCATAAACACAGCGACAGCAAAATTCCTCCACGACAACGTTCGACCCCACACCGCGAAGATCACCTCAGAAGAAAATCGAGAAATTGGGCTGGGAAGTTCAGCCTCATCCGCCATATAGCCCGGGCTTGGCCCCATCCGACTACCACTTGTTTCGGTCGATGCAGCACTCTTTAGCAGAAAAAATTCAAAAACCGCGAAGAAGTCGAAATCTGGGTGTCCAACTTATTCGAGTCGCAGTTGACCGAGTTCTTCGAAAAGGGCATTCATTCTCTGCGTGGAAGATGGCATTGATAGTCATTGATAATGATGGCGAATATCTTTTAGATTGAGGTTTTGTGTTATGTTTTTTATAATAAATTTTGTTTATGGTTCCAACGGAAGTTTCATCTGCACCAACCTAAAAAATTCTAAATTAGAATTTCCTGATTCAATTTTCACCATTTCACAAACTCTTCAAGATTCTGTCGAAATATGGAAATCCCTTCTTTATCACAAATTTCTGCTTCAATTTTCATTTCATGAAATTTTCCAAGAAATTTGATTACCCAATGGAAATCCCTGCCTTCTCCTTGCCTCTTTTCCCCAACCCCTAGTTCCCATAGCGCTTCCCTCAGCTACGGTATCTGATTCCTGTGCGTGATCGGCTCTCTGTCAGCTGTTTCTCTCCAACTAACTTTCTCTCAAATAAATGAAGGGAAATTGGGGAAAAAGAAAAGCAGATGACCTGATTGGACCACTCATTTTTTCCTGTCTGTCCATCCTTTCCTTATTTAGTTTGTCTGCTCACCTCTCTGTGTGTCTGATTCATTTATTTTTGAGTGCAATTGATCACTCGGATTGCTGTTTGTTTCCTTTTCTCAATTTACCCTCCCACAACAATTTTGAACGCTTTATTTTGCGCTATTGTCAAAGGGAAAATTTTGCTTTAACAATAAAGAGTTATCAAAGCCACTATCTGCTTTAAGTTTTCTTATTTCCTTAATAACGGTAGTAAGCTTTTTACTTTTAAAGCTGAGAAATTTGCATAAGATTACTTAGTACTTTCTTGTAATTGTTTTTTTTACGCTCTTACTTTCTTTCTTGTTATAATTGTTCTTTAACATAGTGATGTATTATTATAGCGGATATTGATAGTTTGAAAGTACAATAAGTAGCTAAAATTATCTTTATTGCCTAACAAATAACCCAGTGAATCCTTTTTCTTTAAAACTTCAACAGATATCATTCCTAAAATTCTATAAGAAACAATAAATTGTAAAAAAGAACTCAATTCTTGCCAAATTTTCATACTTTTCAATACTTTGCTTTTCTTTTATTACCTAATTTTACTTAATCTTTAAATATTTTTAGGATGCAATGGACTACTTTTCGATCTTTTTTGTGAATCGTGGTTATCTCTTCTCGTTGGATATCGCTGCCGCCTCACAAACCGTTCAACGATTGCAGAATTTCATCTTCAATGAGATCCACGTCAAAGTACAAGATCAGGTAAAGAATCTTAATCTAGAACTTTGAAAAACAAAGACATACCGATTTTGTTGAAATCCAATTTCCAGGTGCTTCTCACGAATGCGGGTCAAACACTCGAGGCGAACAAAAATGTCTCCGACTATGAGGGAATCGGAACAGCCGCAAATCCCGTTTGTTTAATGAAAAACTCTAAAAATTCTACAGTAATTCATAATCAATTTAAATTTCTAGGTGTACATGTTCGATCGACGTTTTCTTCGACAAGAGAAAGATGAGATGAGCAGTAGTCAAGACATCAAACAGTTACATCATCGGATAGAGGAAGCGATTGAGCAAGTGAGATTTGGAGATGAAATTTTTGATACTTGCAGGGATCCTCTTCGGTCCTGTAAGCTAGATCAAGCTCTTGAAATAGCCCTTCAACAGTAAACCAGATACGGTCAAAAGCAGACTAGGATTCTGATTGTTGAGCTTGACCTGACCAGGAAAAATTACCATTTAGACAACTCTCAAACTTTTTAGGCCCAACGAGTCGAACGGGAAGATGATCCAACAAAACTTTACCTCGATCTTCCCGATCGGGCTCGTGATTGCAAGTCAGCAGCCACAGCAGCAATTGCTGTTTGTGCAAAACTCGTTCAAGAACACACATTGCTCAATAATGTAAGTTGAAAGTTAAAAGGCTTTTATGCCGCCTTTTTTGGCTTCGGCTTTTCTGCCGCCATGGTCGACTGGCTAAGAGCTCTGTAGCTTTCGAGGGAAGGTCAACTGACTGAGCCGGCCAAATGATATGCGACCCATATCATTCGACACAGAATTTTATGCTGATTTCGAATATATATTCTGTTTTTGCTTAATGACAATCTGACAGGAGCTATAAGCGTCTAAAGTTTTGTTAGGACTCTGAAAATATGGGTTTTTGGTCTTAGGCGCCTTCGCGATTCCGAACACAGACACCATACCGCTCGACCACGGCCTACTAGAATCGAGATCGCGCAGAAGGCGCCAAAAGACCAAAAAAACCCATATTTTCAGAGTCCTAACAAAACTTTAGACGCTTATAGCTCCTGTCAGATTGTCATTAAGCAAAAACAGAATATATATTCGAAATCAGCATAAAATTCTGTGTCGAATGATATGGGTCGCATGTCATTTGGCCGGCTCAGCCAATTGACCTTTGACCTCAGCTCAGTCAATTGACCCGTTTGATATAAATGTATTTTTCAAAAACGATTTCAGGGTTGGACGGCTTTAATGTCAAATATGGATGACTCGGTGAAAAAGATGCGATCCAGAGCGACGAGATTTCAGAAAAGTCGAGAACGGGTGAGTTTTTGAAATGGATAGATAGATTCATTTTCATTTAACTAGTTAGATATGCAAAGATTATCAGCTTGATATTTTAATAGTTTAGATCTTATCTTGATATTTTGATTCAGGTATTCGCTCTTCGTGACACTGCCGCTCCTTTACTCGAAGATTTCGATCAGTGTCTTGAACAGCTCAAAGGAATCACAATCCCGTTGACATTGTTGACAAATATTGGACGAAATTCGGAAGTAAAACTTTCATTTTTTTTGGCAAATTATAAATTCTTTTAGATGTCTTTACACGATTGGATTCAAAGTACTGATAGCAATCACTCTCTTGAGGACTTGGTCATCCAAGTCAAGGATCAATTTAAAAAGGTAACAAAATTTAAGCTCAACCAATTGTATGCCAAGAAAACCTTTAATCCAAACTTTTAAGGTTGATGAATGGGACACAAAAAGAATCGGAAACGAGCTGGACAAAGTCTTTGAACAAACTCGGCAAAACGATTATCGAGAGATCAAAGGGATCAATATCCGTCTCAATCAATTGGATAACTCGCTGAGAAAAGCTGAAGGTGAATAGATATCAAATTCTCCAATAAAAACCTATTTTCAGAGTTTGAGAAGCGAGTGGCTCAAGCAGTTTCACAAATCTTGCAAACACCACAAAATCGGGATATGAACTCGTTAGCGGTTTGTCTTCAGAAAGTTCGATTTTAAGGAGATTTTAGAACCTGATGAGCGAGCACTGTCTATCGATGCATAAGATTTACGATCAGTTGAGAGAGTTGAATAAAACGTGTGAGACTTTCTACAAATCGAAGTGTGAATTGTTGGCGAATATCAAGCAGCGATTGACTGGATGGATTGTGACGGTGAGTTCGACGGGTCTAGGGTTGTTTCAAAGTCATTTGTTCAACTAAAATTAAAATCAAAATCATTTAAACAACACCAAAATCAAAGTTTGTTTATCTGATCGGAGCCAGACCGAAGCCAGAGTAAGCCAAAAGCTGAATCCTGGCTCTGGCCTTAAACCTCTGATCAACTTCTAAACACCCTACAAGTACAATAATTGAAAAAGTCTTACTATCAACATACTAGTTTCAATATTTTCCTATTTGACTCAATCTTGTAACATAAACTTTTATTCTTTAGGCATATGAAAAGCTCCATATAGCGCATAGTGAGATCGTTGTCTATGAGGAGAAGTTCCTTGGGCTGAAGCAAAGAATTGATTTGGTAAATTTTTTGTTGAATAATTTCTCATCTTTGTCATTAACAAATCACTTTTCCAGGTCACTCAAGTGAAAGAAGCTCCAGTCATCTATGCAACAGCAATCACTGAAATTATCCGGAGAAGTGCTTTTCAGAAGGTAAAAGCTTTTAAGCCAACCAAAAACTAATTTTTTAAATTGTCTCAGGAGTTCACCATTTGGCATCAATTGCACAGTGATCAATGTGATAAATTCTCGAATGATGAGGGAAAGATTCGAAAGGATTTCGCAACAAAACTGGAGAAGTAAGTTTAAGAAGGACACAAGACACATTGATAACCAATTTTTCATTCAGAATCTAGGCCTAAAGTGCTTAAAATCGTTCAACTTATCTTTCAATTCCTTTCAGACATTTCCTTCGATGCCTATTCCCAGGAATGTTCGACGAGTTACCTCAATTCTTTGTGCCGACTTCAAAAATGCCAAAATTTGATCAGAAAATGCCTGGCATTGACGATGGATATCTGCATGAGCTGAGAAAGGTTTGCAGTTGACAGTTCTACGCTTGGACACGCCGATCCTATGGCTTGGCTCGCTGGCAAAATATTCTGGAGCGGGATTCGAACCCGCGATCTCTCACTTATCAGGCAAACGCTTTACCAATGAGCTACACCGACATGTGTTTCGTTGCCACCAAAGTAGGCCCTTATGGCTTCTATTTTGTTAACAAAATCGAAATTTTCCTTTCAGAATGTCTCTTCATTGAAAGCTTTCCTCTACGTCTCCGTTCCACAAGTGTTCACTCGTTTAACGATCACTCATCTATCGATTCCAATCAGTCAATCTCAATCTATTACACAGCTTAGACGGTTTTTAAGTGATAAAATTACACTTGTAAAACCCATTTTCAGAGATGATTCTTTTACCACGACTTTTCCGGTCAACAATATCGCTATGTTGCATAAACAATATCCATCGGTGGCCTGGAGTTTAGCGTGAGTCTTTTCTGAGATTTTCTTATCAAATTGTCAGAAATTCTCATTAAGACTTGAAATATTTTAGTGCAGAAGAAGGGTCTGACATGTCACCTCGAGAATTGCCGGCAATGCTCGCTCGATCACCACCGTCGAACTTTGGACCAGGCTCACAGTCGCTCTATCGCTTCCACGCGGCTCCATCGCTTCAAAATTTAGAGGTGAGCATAACAAGCTACAAACCATAAATGTTAGTTAAAAACCTTAGCTAACTAGATCTAGTTGTTTCTTAACCAATAATTTTTAGGAATGCCAAGACGATGATCTCCCAGCTGGTACTCCAAGAAGTATGCCCATTCAAATCCCGGGAATGCATATGCATCGAGCGATGGGAGATCTCATTCATCAAGTGGTTTTTGGGAAAGAAAACAAATTATTGAAAAGGTTTTCAGATGTCAAAGAATTCCTCTCAATTCTCGACACCCGATGATCATTTTGACGGGAAAGAGCAATTCCCAATGGAAGGATGCACCCAAAGGAGTATCACGTTGGAACATTTGAAACCGGTGGCTGCGGAGTTGTTGAAGATAAAGGAGGTGAGTGGAGGAGGTGACTTTACAGGTTTAATTAGACCACACGATTCTGTGGGAATTGGGGGCCGGGACGGCTCCACTGTTCTCTGGTTTAGTGGCGGAAATACAGCCAAATTTGGGGCTGAATTTTTCCCGGGGGTGATGGCATGGTAGCGCCGGAGCAACGGAGATCACCGATCCGAAAAAGGAATCGCTCTATACCCGGGATGTATGCCAGATGGCGAGCGATTACACAAAGAACACATCACCAGTCATTTTCAGTAGATCAAGGTCCAGGAGTCGATTCTGAGGGGCTCTTCGTTGATTAAACAATACACCGATTAGACAATATAGTTTTGAGTGCAATTAAAGACCTAGCAATAGTACAAATAAACTATATAATCATTTGCAGGATTTGGAAATGATCAAAGGAGAAATGGAGTTGTCAAGAGAAACCTTCGAGAAAGAGCTCTCAACTGCAATGGCATCGATTGTGAGAGCGGTTGAAATCGAAAGGGAAACACATGAGAATATTGTGAAAGGATTGAATGAGGAATTTGAGGTAAAGAAAATAAAGAGCTAAAGGACTTTAATGAAAAGAATTTAGGCTTTGAAAAAATCGAACAAAGAATTAGAAGAGATTAAAATGAAGCAAGGTGATGAGATTGAAAAACAAAAGGGAAAGATTGAAGAATTGGAGGAAAGTCTTGGGAAAGCGAATGAGAAAAATGAGAAGTGAGTTTTTGATGTTTTAAACTACCATAACTTGTTTATTATTCATTTTGTTTTCAAATTCAGATTGGAACAAGATGCTGTCGGACATGAGGAAGCGTTGAAAAACGTGCAGAATGAAGTGTTCAAGCGGTTGACGATTGAGTACGAATTGGCGAGAGATGATCTACAAAGGGAACACTCCAGGATTTTAGAGGTTTCTATGGATTTCTGTGATTGATTTTGTCCAGGAAAAGTTTGAAAACGCACCCTTTCTAGTGCATTCATGCCTTGTTGGTGGTATGGTAAGATCCATATGAGATTGGTACACTAGAAAGAGTACTTTTGCAATTCTTGGATACAAAGTACACCAAGACTCACTAAAACCTTAAAGAATTTTTCTAGGAAAAAGACGAAAAGATTCGTCACGTTCACAGGGAACTCGATCGGAAGAACTCGGAAATCGAAAGGCTCAAATCCGATCCAGATAGTGATGGGTATCGGACACAAATCAAGAATGATATTAAGCAAGAATTGGAGAAAGAATATAAGGTTTGAATCTTTTAATCAAATTGAAGCCTCTATTATTCTAGAGTCGAACCGATCGAATCACGAAATCTCTTCAACAGAAACAAGATGAGCTGATCGCTCGTCATAAAAAAGAAGTCGAATTTGATTCGAGGAAAAACTTACTTGATTTGGTTAGTTGATAGATTACTTTTTTCAAAAGTAAACCAAATTTTCAGCAACATCAAATAAAATGGGTGACAGAAGAGCGAAATCGACTGAAAACTCTTTTGTCTGAGACGGAAACGAACAAGGAATCGCTAGAGAAAATCACGAAAGAAATCGAAATTGCTGCTGCGAATGATGCAAAGGAATTGCATGGTATGAAACAAAACGATAATAAATCCACCAATAATAATAGGATAATAATAATAATAACTATAATAGGTTCACCCAAAAAAAAGACGGTTCTTAAAGCTATTCCTTATTAATTTTACCCAGTTCTTCTTGCAGTATCCAGTGCTTGTTACTTTATGGTTTTCCATCAAATCTAGTCATTTTCCAGTTTCATCAAGCTACACCGTGCTGAGCCGGACGACTTCCGGAACACAAACCGAGACTCCACTAGCGATCAATCCTTTGAGCCCACTTCAGTTACACGATTTGGCCGGATTGGGCAGTGGACTGTCATCAAGTGAACGACGAGGAAGTGCGCCTAATGCTTTGGTGAGTTTGTTATATCGCATAAACTTGACTACTACATGATTTTCAAATTTTCTATTACCCAGTTTCTATTGGTCGTCATGGTGAGTGGAAAAGATGAAGTGTCAGGGGTGGGACAAATGCGACCTTTTTTTCGCTGGAAAAGGCCTTAGGAAAGGTCGTAGAGCTTCAAAAATGTTCCATGTAAGGGAACCTGCGGAAAAGCGTTAAGTTGCATAGTTTTTGTCTCTTAGCCCAAATTTGACGTGTCAACGAGGTCTGATTTGTCGAAATTCGGAATCTACGCATACGATTCATTTATATAAAAACATTTTTGGAGCTCTACGGTCTTTCCTAAGGCTTTTTCCAGCGAAAAAAACGGTCCGCAAATGTTCAGGTTATAAGCAGTTTGGGGTGCGACCCACTTTAGCCTTATCCACGAGGATGATTCTGCTTAAGAATGGCCGAATAGCACAAAAGGTTAAAAAGGGTTTCCCCAAAAGCGCTTATAACGTAACAAGAACACGTAGTATCCAACAATAGATTAATACTCTTGAGAAGAGTACAGATCGGATTGATACTACGTCGATGGTGACACAAATGTTAGTAAAACCAGTTATCTAAGCAGGATTTAAAACCTGAAGGGTAGCATAAAGCAAAGTGAATTTATAACGTTACTGTTTATTAGTACAGAACCGAAATGCAACAATACCCATTACAAAAACAGCATGCACATCAAAAATGAAACAACAAAGTCCCCCCAGAGGGAAGGCAAAAGCCCCCCGACCAAAAAAAAATAGAGAAAAGGTCGCATTTGTTCCACCCTCGAAGTTTCAAGATAATTATCTTTAAATTAGATATTATGGCCGACTGGCTAAGAGCCCTGTATCATGGAAGTCAAGGGTTTAATCCCTAGTTTATTGGTTCTTTTTTTCAATATGGGTTTTTCCTAACATTTAGGGCTTATGGGTTCTACTTGTGTATTCATGGACGGGAAGTCAAGGGTTTAATCCCTAGTTTATTGGTTCTTGGTTGTATTGTTTTCGTGTAAATAAAATTTGGCTTAATTAAATGAAATTTTGCAGCTTCAATCGACCTACAATCAATCAACGAGCATTATGGAACAATCGATGATGCCAATTGCTCAATTCTACGTAGACTCTTCTCATCCAAGTCAAGAAGATTTTACAAGGTATTGAATCGTTAAAAATAAAATCCAGACTCCATATAAGCAGAAATTCGATTCATTCAGAAACATATAAAATTCAGAGTACAATCTCCCGAAGTTCCTTCAATGCAAGAAATGAATCCGGACGAGACGGCACAAACGATTGCCTGTCAGACAAGGGTTTTAATGAAAAATCTGGACATGATGGTAAGCAAAAGTAAAAAAAAACGGGTGAAAAATTCTCATTCTCAGGTGACAATACAAGATATCGGTGATGGAGCAACTGTATTAGTGTTATGGGATGATAAACATAACGCTTTCGTCATTTTCAGGTAAAGCATTAAAGCTTATTTAACAATATCAAATTTTCAGTACATCTCCATATTTGCATTTTGTCAAAGAATCATCAGTGAAAAAGCTCGGTTTGGCGCCGGGTGGGAACAAGAAATCGTGGATTTTGGCAAAAGTTGTTAAAGTGGATTTGTGCGTGATCCGGAAACAGGATAATCGGTGAGTGGAAAGGGAAAAGCTCAAGTCAAAGGCGTAATATATTAAGCTTAGATTTTAGATAAAGCTTGTATTCGATTACAACAGAGATTTCCTAGAATCAATACTCATCTAGCTAACTAATAAAATCACAAATCTATCACTAGAACTAACAAAAGCATTCGATTTCTTTCAAATTTTATGTTCAGATTAATAAAAATCCCTTTTTAGGTATAATCTCCCGGTTGAGGCACGAGTGTATCGTGTCGAAGTTGATCCAATCATAAGTGAGTCATTCACTTCATCTCGCTCCAGAGCATCAACAACTGCTATTTAAAGAAGCTCTGAACTTTATATCTTTTTTTTTACAGTACTCAGTATAACTGAATATTCAGTGACTTCAAATATTTAGTTGTCTGAACGTTTATACAACTTACTGTATAATAAACCATTGTAAAAATCTCTAGGTATTTTTTAAAGAAATTTTCCTAGTCTCAAATTAGCCACCTATTATTTTGTTTGCTATTTGTTCTGAATACCTCTCTGGATTTCTTTCATTGCCCTTTACAAATCGCGTTTTTTTTTCTCTTTTAATGGGTGTCCGAAACGGGACCTTTCTTATAAAAATTCTTTCTCATTTTTCTGTTCTTAAGTGGATTCGAAGTTGTGATCACTGAAAAAAGCTTCAAGTCTTAAATATTTCAGTTGGAGTCTATGATGGACCGAAAGCCTGTAAAATTGTAAATATCTTTTTGGTTAGAGTGGATTGAATAAATTTTGTGTCATACCAAAGCTCCGAATGAGCTTTTAAAAAACATGGCCTAGAAAAATGTCACTCACAAAAAAGAAAGCAAAGCAGAAACATATTGCCCTTTACTTATCTTAATAAAGACAGTGGGGGGTTTTAGCAGTCAAAACGAATTCGGGGCGTAAAAGAAGGCGAAGGACTTTTTTCTTCGGCAGAATATTTTGAAAAGCTTTCCGATTCATAAGAAAAAGTTTAAATATCAAAATCAATTCAAATAACGGCGTGTTTCTTATTTCCGTAATCGGCTTACTCTTAGTTGCTCCTTTACTTGCTACTGCCCTTAAAAAGGATCTTTCAACAATGCAATGTGAATGTGCTAAACGGATTTCTTGGACGAAGCCTGCATTTCAAAAAGGAAGTACAACCACGGCAGGATTCCAGGTCAAAGAAGGATGTGGCTCAAATCTCGGCTTCATGCAACTGGTCCAAAGACGCCATGCACCCACCCCGCTCGCCATCGTGCAAGTTTGCGTTCGACGAAAAGTGGATTATCAAAAGACAAATGGCATCAATGTCTGCTTCAATGACAAGTATACCGAGTACATCAATCGACGATTTTTGTGGAAGCAAGACAATATGCTTTCTTCCACTTTTGGGATCAACTCAGTGACCTTGATCCACGCGAATGAATTGAAAAAACTCATCATAATATCAAATCAAACTCATCAAAGATCTTCCGAGAGTTTTGTTTGTTTCTAAATCCCTGTGTATATTTTGATCTAAAAAAACGGTACAAATTTAGTACCATATCAAATTATTCATTTGAGTAAAATGCGATTTAAAATGGCTTATTATCGGTAAATTTTATTCGAAAGCAAATCAAAACTCAACAATTTTGACCATTAGAGATACACTAGTGCTACGAATTTAAACTAAAAACAAAACAATAAAACCAACCTACAAATGAGCAATTCAAATCACACTCGATCCGCAAACGTTTGATCATACAATCGTGTTTTCTGTACAGTTGGCGTTCCCTCTTGATATTTCACCGGTGTTGGACTCTCGAGCTTTGCACCAGCTTTGTCAATCGCAAAATCGTAAACTTTCGGCGTCTCTAAAGCTTCCAAAATTTTTTTCTCCAAATTCTCTTTTGACACAAAGTCGCTGCTTCGGTTGATCACCGTCCGGACTTCAAGCTCTGATCGAGCTGCCGTTTCAGCTTGCGCATCCACCGTACTTTGAATCTCCCAAAGAACTTCTTGCCTGGTTTCCTTCCATTTCTCCATCTTTTGCACCTCTCTTTCCTTCGCCTTTTGCAAATTTCGTTCATTATTCGCAATGATGAGAAGATTCAATTCTTTGGCCTCTTCTTCTTTCATTGCTTCGAGACCTTGTCCAGTTGCAGCTCGAGAAATACTCTCCTGTATATAAAGTTGTCTGATTGAAGCGATCGCGTTGTTATAAGTGAATCGCCTCCACAAAAGCTCTTTCACATTCTCCGGTTTCTCCCATTTTGGATGCACAACATGGTAAAGAACCTTCTTGCTAGGTGGAAGAATCGGCGGTTTCCCCTGCTTTGGCGGCTTTCGTCCCATTCCCCTTGTCGTGTCCACGAGAATTGAAGTCGATTGGCCGATTTGAGTCCACCCTTTCCTCAAGAAAGACGTCGACGGCGTGTTCAACATCCCCGGACGGATCTAAAATTGAAAATTTCGTTTTTTTCGATAATTTCCCTGAAAAATCATAAAAGAGAAAAAGTTGGAATAATAAATGATTCTAGAAAGACAGGCAAAGTCAAATAGGAAACAATCTACTGATCTAAAAAAGTAAGCTAAAAAATTTTCGACAAAATATTGGTGCATAATCTTAAGCAAAAACGGATCGGATACGAAGAAGCTAAATGTTTCAGGAAATCGGTTGACCTTTTACTAAAATAAGCTCATTGATGATGATTTTAGTCATAAAAACACTGCTAACAAAGCTGGCTAAAATTAGAAGCATTTTTAAAGATAAAGATAACAAAAATTGTACGAAAAATGGGGTAGGCTAGTTTCCGAAACTTTTTTTGCGCAACAAGGTTATTTGCGCAACTGGGTCGTTTGCGCAACTCACCATAACTTTCTTCTAAGTGAGCCAATCTTTATGAATTTGGTTTCATTTTGGTGCACTTATTGAGATCTACAAAATGAAATCAAAATCATAAAGATTGACCGAATTAGAAGAAAGTTATGGCGAGTTGCGCAAAAGACCTAGTTGCGTAAATGACCCTGTTGCGCAAAAAATTTGGCGCAAAGTAGCCTACCCCCGAAAAATTGCTTGTTGAAGAATCTAAAGCGTGCTTGAGAAAAAAATATGAAAAACTGCCGTGATCGAGTACACTTTATCCAATTCACGGCAACACTTTGGGGTCAATTTGCATTTCTTTATTTTATGAGAGAATTTTTAGAGCCTCGACAGAATAACTTTAACAAATTAACTTTACTTATTATATTTTGCGCAACGGGAAGATTTCATTTTTCTGCTTTGTTTGTGCTTATATCAGATATTTTTGCCTTTTATTCTCTTTGTCTTTAGTTACTTTTTAATTTCAGGAATGGCTCGTCACAGCAAGATCCCGAAGAAGAATCGCAAGAAATTAAAATCGGTCGACCCATACAACACAAAGGGAAATGTGATCAAAGAACGGGAAATGGAGTAAGCTATTTTGACGTTTTACTGGATAGGTCTCAATTTGTTGGGTTTAGTTCACTTTAAAGTGGATAAAGCTGAGGTTTTGGCAGATAACTTAGACAGAACTTCTTTGCTTTGAAAATGTAAAGTGTTTGTTTTAACCTTGATACTGCCTTTATGGAAGGTGCTATTTTTTGAAAATAATAAAGCAAAATTTCAAATCCCTCAAGTAAAGAAATTTAGGTTGCATAAATGACAAGCTGAATTCAGTGTACTTCTATGGTTTTCTTAGTCTTTATTCATGTGTTTCTTTAGAAAGAAGAATTGTGCTCCAAAAGAAAAAGATGAACAAGGAATGTCGAATCTTTTGATGGAGATCGGCAAATCGCAAAGTCAATTGGCATTTCAAGAGTCTATCCCATCTTTTCCGAGGAAGAAGGCGCATAAAAATAGGATTGACGGTGAGTTTGTTTTTAGGCTATCAACATATTAGTAAAGGGATTTATGAACACTTTATTAACATTTTTTTTATTTTAGCCGAGGCTGCGCGTTACGGCTATGAGCGAAAACAGTTCGAAAGCCCGAAGATGTTTCTCAATCGGATTTCCATGGAAACTCACAAACAAGTGAACGATATCTCGATAAAGGTAAAAAAAATAGTTCTTGTGCTTGAGTCAGCACATAAATTATGTTTTGTAGTAACACTTTACTTTTAGGCAAAGTTTGAGCTCGCTGGTCGTGCAAAGGAAGAAATCGACAAAGACTACAAAGAAATTGATGACAAAATTGAACGAAGAAGAGAATTGAAAAGGAAAAGGTTGGGTTTGATTTAAAACTATTTTTATGCATTGTTTAGATCCGAAAAGATATTAGCGTTGAAGAGAGCAGAAAAAGGACTTGACGAAGAAGATGAACCATCTGAAGAAGAGGTGAAATTTGGTTGAGTAATAAAATTTTACGCAAATAGCATTCAGGAAGAGGCAGCCCATATGGTAAAATCAACAACACCTTCCATGACAAAAGCTTCTTCAAAGAAAGATAAGAAAGCACAAAGAAACGAAGAACTGAAGAAGATTAAGTAAGTTTACCATATCAATGCTATTATTTTTATTTTTACTTTAGAAAGGACAAGCGGCTGGCAATTCAAAAAGAGTCGCTGCTTACAGCAAAAGAAATCGTGCCATTCGGAGAACGATATGATGCTCCACCTAAGTATGAAAATTTGTCTTATATTTTAATCTTGCTTATTTAGATTCGAATTCAACTCTAAATTGAAAATTGACATGACGAAGAGGATGGCAAAGGTAAAAGTTTTCGAGTTTAGTTACCTAAACGTTGTTTTAGGCTGGAAGCAAGGATTTGAAATTGAAAGCGCTGCTTCAGAATAGAGGAGAGGAAAAAGAAACGATCTACCAAGAAAATGAGAAAATTTCCAAAGATACAGGTTCTAAGGTGGGTTCTTTTAATTTTTATGAAGTTTGTTAGATAGAAATTATGTTATTGCTAATTCTAAATTAGTATTTAGACTGGCAGAAAAAATTTTCAAGGTTTGACGACTAAACAGTATACATTGCAACTTGATTATTTTCTAGATAACCGAAGCCGATCGTCAACGCGTCATCGACATGTATCGAGAGGCAAAGCGTCAGAAACGACAAAAAGAAAGTGAATGAACGAATGATATGTATGTATTCTAGATAAATACAGTCAAATTTGATATATATAATTGCTTTGAAACATTGACTAGGTACTAGACAACACTTGAAAATTATCAATTTTGGCTGTATACGTTGTTAGATTTGTTACAAGTCAAAATCATTTGATGTTTCTTGTTATTTTTGTTAATTTTGTTGCTTTTTATTGTTTGAAATGTTAATTCTTTAGATAAATCTTTTATTCTATGTCACTATTCACATTTCAGTTTCGTTTCTTTTCTTTGGTGACAGCGGGCGTGGATCGACCGAAGAGACGCCTCAACAATCCCATCAATAATCGGAAAATTGTTCTGAAAATTTGTATGTAAGCTGCTGATACAAGCTTATTAGTTTGGCAACTTACCGAATGACTAGCAAAACGGTGGCGATAATCAGCAAAACAATTGAGGCCAAGAAAGCGAGGACATCGACAAGGAAATATTGGAAGATATTCAACTTATCGGCACCGGAACGAGCATGAGGAACCTGAATTTTTGAATCATTGTTCTTGCAAACTTTAAAAAGCGAAAAAATCTTTAAACTGCTTTTAGATATTTTAACTGGTAACTGGTAAACTTTCATTAGCGTTTTGCTCAAGCAAAAATTGATTAACAACCGACTTCATGGTGTCTCTCGATGAATTCCACCCAAAAAGCGGCATGAGTCAACTCTGTGTAGGGCACATCTCGAACCATATCCTGGAAGATCGCCATCTCATCCGAATATCTAAATTTCACATTAATTTACATTTATTGTTAGCTCAAAACTTTTTCTTTTGGATATTCGTGATCGCTTTCTTCAGTGTGCCCAATTGAAGGTTTTGTTTTGGAATCAAAATCCCGGCGCCTCTTGATGAGACTCTGAATTGAGGGTTTTAAAAGGATAGATTGAAGTCGAAATTATGGTATTTTTAGTGTACCTCAACACATTATCATAGTTGTGCACGGTGAGCGGCAATCCGATCATTGGTTTCCCATGCCAAACGCTTTCGATCACACTGTTCAAACCGCCCACCGTTATATGCGCCTTGCATTTCTTGTGGCCTAAATAAGTTCAGGGATTTTCCATGCTACCCGTAATACTTGTAGTAAATTTTGGGTATAAACAAAGTTTTATCACGTTTTATCAAATCACCTAGTAAATCTTGTTGTGGTAGAAAAGGCGTTGTGAAGACATTCACCGGCAATAGCTCAATCTCGGGTCCATTGTATTGCCAAATGAAACGAAGGCGTGGATGAGCTTGGAAAGCACCGATGAACGCTTCCTGAAATCTTTATAGTTAAATCTTTGGTAGAAAGATTTAGGTTTGTTTATAAAGTTTTACATTTCATTGATACAGTAGACTCACTTTTAAGAAAGAAGGTGCTTTGCCCCAGTCTAATTCTAATCCAGAAGTGACAAGCATGAATCCTTCTTCTGCTTCATCCACAAACATGCCGAGAGTCTAAAATTGGTCTAAAGTCATGAGATTTTTAGATAAACATACTCCGTGTAGTTCAGAAGCATTCTTTGCATGAAGTCCTCCCACAAAATTGACGCGTGGCATGAATGGACGAGCAAAATCGAAAATTGGAGGAGTATTGACGAGATTGATTGACGCATTTCTTTCCAAATCAAATGCACTTGCGGCTCCTTTGTAGTATTTCTAAAGATTGGATAAAAGATTGAATTCTTTATTTACTTATACCTGGAAAACGGCATCGATTCTCGGTTGAATGATGTGTTGATGTGTGTAGAGAGCTTTGAGATAAGCAACCAAATTGAAGCTTCTCTTGAAGAAACTCAGATCCTCGGTGAGTCTAAATTGATTTGAGAAAAAACAGAAATATTGTTTCTGTGAGAAATACGAACTTTGTCCCAGGCACAGGTAGATATGATGGTGGATTTGGTGATTGATTTGCCCACGCTGATTCGGGTCTCATTGCACTCATTGACCAATAGACAAAGACATCGCCGCGAAGACCGGCTAAGAGAAGGCCACAGGGGTTGAATTGATCATCGACGACGAGGGTATCGAATCTGAGAAGGGCTACTCACAGTCTGGCAATTCATTTATTGTCTTGGATTGGTGGGTATGCTTTGTCGCCAACTTTCAAGTTCCTCTTTTGACACCGAATGACTTACCGTAAATACTAGGCAACTCACAGTCTGGCAATTGATTTATTGTCCTAATAGTACTCCACCGCCCTCGTACAGTCGCGTAGTCGCAAAAGTTTTTTAGTATTTCATTTTTTGCAAAGCACCCGCACTTTCAAAAAATGCGTCTTTGGTATCAAAAAATAGCCCTGAATTTCAGCTATTTTTTGATACCTAAGCGCTCATTGTAGCATAAACCAGTGTCGAGAAAACCGCGTTCAAAGCTAGACTACGCAACGCTCCGCACCGTCATTATGGGGGTGGGGTACTATTACAGTATTTACGGTATGGTTTTATAATAAAGATCTATCTTTTCTCTACAAAATGGCTTTTGAGAGATTCCACAAAGCTTTTTTTTAAATTAATTTTATGAATTATCAAACACAGCAAGTCGAAATTGTATGAAGTCCGAATTTGAATAATTTAGGATTTGAACAATTTCTATCAAGTAAACCTTTTTTGGTGTCAATATAAAAAAGATAGCGCATATTCAATTACATAAGTTCCCAGATTTTCAGAAAGATATCTTCAACCGTTTTCACTAGATCGCAATCTGTAGATTTTCTAAAAAAACGGAACTTTTGTTGAGTTGAGTCGCTGAGCTTAAAGCCTCCGTTAAAATGTTATTTTGTAGAAAAGTAGCTAATCTTTCTAATGATACGCCCATTTACCAAAGTCTACGAGAAGTTTTAGAAGTTTTGTGCTTTTTGGCGACACGTCATACGCACCAACCCAATAAAATGCAAGAATAGCATGCGTTTGTTTTGTTCAATTTCTATGCATATAATTCGTTTTTTTTATGTGAATACTTATATACTTTTAACTGACTTTTCATGCACGAGTCGATCGAATTCTTTCTTGTGCTTTGCGAGGAAATTATCGCAAAGCCGTGTCCCCGCCAGCCATCCGGTCGTCCTCTCATTTTCCGCCTCATAATCGTTTTGCCTACAGCGAATAGTTAATAAAATCCTGGTAAATCTAAATTTTTTTAAACTAACCAAACTTTCGTGTGATGTGGATGTGTTTTCTCAACATATAAACTATGAAGGCTTTCATCCTCAAAGCTTGTCTCATAGAAATGCTTTTTGATCGCCGGATTTAGCTTGACTGTGACTTGATTTGACTAAAAGATTCAGATTCTCTTTGAGATTCTCTTTAACTTTTTGCTACTTCTTTAGGTCCAAATTCAATCCACTCGATTTGGTGTCCCCTTTTTGCGAGCTCATTGGCCAAATGGGAAATCACCAATGGATGAGATGGATGAAGGGTGGAGGGGAGGAAAAGGAAACGGCCACAATAAACATGATGAATGAGTAGAACGAATGAAGCCCACAGTAACCTCATTGTAGCAAAGTTGATACTAAATATTCTAAAAATTTTACAAGAAGAACAAGACGAGTAAAAAGATAGACGAAAGTATAGCAAAAATGTATATTTTAAAAGATTCTGGAATGATTACAAGTAAATCCAGAAAATTAATGAGAAAACAGTCTTTTCTTGGTCGATTGATTGAAATTTCTGGTAAGAAAGGAAAAAAGAAAAGAAAATGGAGAGAGAAAGACAAGAGAGAAAAAAGAAGGTCATTTCTTTTTCTTTTCTTTTCCCCAATAGCCTCCAGGTTCAAATTGGGGATATATTGTGGACGATGAATGGGGTTCTTCAAGTCATCAAAAGGGTCAATTCACTTTCATTCACTCGAGAAGTTCTGGATTTTATACGTGAATAGCTAAAAACTGCTTTAATTGTCAGTGATTTTACTAACAACTGGCTTAATTGCCAGTGCCATAAAGCCAATCTTTGCTCACTTTTTTGCTTTTGGCTTAACTTGAAAAGTTTGTGCGGAAATCTTGAGACTTTGTCTTAATCTTAGTTTGAATCTTTGAGTTGGCCTAAAAATTTTTTGGCAGAACCCTCACCCTACAACAAGAAGAACAAGATGAGCAGATAATGAGAGGAAAACAGAAGTAAAAACTTACTGTTAGAAAACAGAAGTATTGACTCTTTGTTTGGAAAATTTACAAAGTTTACAAGTTTAACAAATAGAATCAAAGTATTTTTGAGTAGACAAGACAAATCAATTCGTCTCTTTCAATTCCGCGGTCAGTACCTCATTTCTATCTTATCACTGCTGTTGTTCTAGTCTGTGCCCTTCATGTTTTGTCCTCACTACAAACTTTGTGAGAAAACTATTCTAATAATGATTTACTGGAATGTAATACTGTGCATTGTATTTCAATGTCTCTCTGTCTCTTTCAATGTCTCTTCAATGTCTTTCAATGTCTCTGACTTCATTGTACAAGTAAAAGCATTCAAAATTTCATTTTTATCTATAAAATGCACAATAAAAAACATTCGAAAACATTGGTAGAATAGAATGAGAAAGAGAATTTTCAACAGTTTTTTTTTTAAAGAAAGGCAATGGGTTAATTTTAACCTTTGTTTAGATGAAGAAAATTGGGTGAATCGGGGTGAAATTGATCATGGAATGGCTGGGGAGGGAGGAAATTCGCACAAAGATCATTATCTCGCAAATTCAGGAATTTTTGGAAATCAACGCTGTATTTGAGCAAGATTTTCCAATAGAAAGTGATTTTTTTTAATGAATCATGTACAAAATCAATAAATGCAGTGTATCAGATTGAAATTGCCGCGTCTGTTGACAGCTCAGTGGATCAGAGCTGCTGCTATTAGAGTGGCAAATCTACAGATGTATGTCAGCTCTCGACAGATCACTATTAAGACACAATTTCTGAATAATCAATTAAAACCTATCAAGAAAACAAAGGTGGAATTCGGATTGAAGCTTTTCCAAGTCTAGTAAGTCCTAGACAGGGGGAAATTCCAATCTGAACCTAATGCCACCTTCGTTTTCTTCACCGATTCCTTTGAAATCTTGTCTACAAGCAGAGAATGTCAATTTCTATTTGTAAACAAAAGTTCAGAACGATCGGCCAAAAGACGGCCAAGAAAACGAAGACGGAATTAGGTTCGGCTTGGAATTTTCCCATGTCTTTTAATTGCTAGGTTCAATAGGTTAGTGGATTACGGATAAAATTTGGTTCTGAATTTCCCAACATTTCTGGATTCACTAACTTATAAATCAAAACACCAAGGATATTATGTAATTGGAGAAATTTTGTCACATAAATCCGTATCACAATGCCTAGAATAAAAACTGTACATATAATGTAAAAAAAAATGACTGTAAAAGGCCCGCTTTTCGAGAAGATTTTTAGAAAAGTAGGGAATATTATGGAATTGGAGATAGGTGAACATTACCGTATAGATATTTTTTCATATTCAATAGTTTTCTTTTCAACCAAAATGATTTTTGACTCTTTCTTGTAGAGTTGATGAGTTCCATTGGAGTTGAGCTCCGTCATAGGTTCCATTTGATGAATGAGTTAGTGGAGGGATTGGGGAACCGGCGAGAGACCATCGACCCTGGAAAAGGTGAATGGTGAATGGAAAAATGTCAATCACAGAATTGAGCTTTTACGCATGAAGCCATTTCTTACCGTAAGAAAGACTCAATTAGAAAGTTGCTTAAAGTAAATACCGTATTTTCTCTAATAGTAGTGCACCCAGAGCGTCGTCTAAATTAGTCGAAATCTCAAAAACCGCTTATCAAAACCTATCGATGTGGGGTCGGAAAATGTAGCTGACGATGAGATCTTGTGGGGGATTTGAGTGTTGAGCTTCTAGGAAAAATTGGAAACCGTAAAATAGTCATCAACTTGGCTCGGGAAGATGCACTACTATTAGAGAGAAAGAGAATAGAGCAAGCAGCTTTGGCAGATTACGGTAACATCTGTGAGGCGATACCTCTTTCTCAGGCATTTAATCTCTAGATTACAATAGTTTTAGTTAAATCCAGTGATCGCCGAATTTGAGATCTAGTGGGGGATTTGAGTGTTGAGCTTCTGGGAAAAATTGGAAACCGTAAAATAGGCATCAACTCGGTGCGGTGCACTACTATTAGAGAAAATATGGTAATAAATATCTACCAGGGTTTCAAGAGAAACTCTTTTTGTGTTTCATGCTAATTACTGGAAGAAAGACTGATCAGAAAGTTGCTTAGAATAACTACCGAAATAACTTATTCCTTCTCTTTCTTCCTTTCTTTCTCTTCCTTGTCTTTCCTATTTCTTCTTAGGCAAAAAAAAAGTTGCTAGCTCATTGGTAGAGCATCTAGCCGATAAGCAGAAGGTCAAGGGTTCAATTCTCAGTTCCAAATTCTTTGCCATTTCTATACTTTTCCAGCAGTAAGATCTTTTAAGTCTGGTACTTTCAAGAAGAAATTTGATCCTCTACAAACTGAAGTACAAGCTTTGTAAACAATATTTTTAAAGTTTTAAAGGTTTAAAAGTATTTAAGTTGAAGAACTTCAAACTCACTTTATGCTCAGCTACTTGAATCGACGATAAATATGGTGTATTATGTAAAAGATAGAAGAAATCTTCGTTATTCCTTGGTTCTGATCCACACAATTGACGAGTGAGTGTCTCGAGGGAAGCTCCATGACCAACAATCAGAATATTTCCTAGAATTTAAAGAGATTTTCGAAAATTTTCAGTTCCTTCTACCTGTCGGGCATTTTCGGATGATTTCTTGAACGATTTGGAAAGATCTCTCATAGTAATTGTAGAGATTTTCCTCCATTCTTAACGCGTCATCCCGTTGAATTGGAGTGTATTGAGTGTTGACTGGGTAACCTGGAAAGTTCTCCATCTTATAAAACCTATCAATCATCAACTCACCCAATTTCGATAGTTCTTGTGGACTCATCCATGACGGTCTTCCCATTCTACACCATTGCATCCATTCATACAAACCCGGCTCGATGTTGATCTGGGCTTTTCCGTCACCTAGAACAGATTCATTTTTGGTATTAGATTTTAAAAAATCAAGGTTGAACACCCGGGAATCGAGCCCCGGATCTTGTGGGTCGTAGTAGCGCGCTCCCGACAAAAAACCAGCTGTTAGGTAGATTGTTCCGCTGTTCAACCCAACCAAAATTCTGCAGCATTACCGCCAGCACACTCCGAATCACTTTTTGTGGATACTTCTGTCGTCGTGGCGCATTAAACGTAGTTATCCGTAGACAAGCCCGAGAGCGGGCTTGTCTACAGACTACACGAGCCGAGTTCGACTCCCCGTACTGCCGTTCAAGTTTGCCTTTTTTATTTTAAATGACAACTACAATATATTCTAAGGTTTTCTGAAGAGTTTTTAGCTTTATTGATCAAAAGAAAGACGATGTGGACGAGAAGATGTCCGTACAGACACACACTGCTCTTTTAGATATAGCAAATACTTCCAATTTATAATCTTTCTCTTACTACAGTATCCCGGGCTAAAAGCTTCGTCTTTAACGCACTTTAAGATCTTCCTCCTTGTCGATTCAACAGATTTATTCGAGAACCTTGATTGATTTTTCATTTTAGCCACTCACCCAATCCCTTCATAATGCCGACCGCCGTTTGTACACATCGCAACGCCGACGAGCAGAAGACGTGCTCAAAGCGGAGATTCTTGTCTCGCAATGATCTGCCTAGAAAGGAAATTCCCTTCATCAATCAATAACTCAAATTCTACCTGTCAATTTCGATTGCAAATATCCCATCTCCGTAAGTGGAGTGTCCATAGCGAATTTCTGCCATCCATCTTTTCTCTTCGGCACTATTCGTGGCAAATTCACGTCAAAAGGGGTGTATCTGATTTGAAATTTTGAATCTAATATAAATTTCATTTTTCCTCACCTTCCATTACTATCAAAAGCTCTTTTCATCCAGGAAACGCCTCCTTGGTTGAAGACAAAATCACATCTTTCCCCGTGTCTCACAATGACTATCCGTCTTGGGTGATCCATCGTTGGCCAATCTGGAAACAAAACTTACAAATCTACAAACTCATAAACACTTTATAGAGAAATGAAAAGAAAGGTTGGCGATATTTTGCTTGAATTCGACGAATTGACTCTTTTGAAAAGTTGAATTGAGCGAGTTTTACGAGAGAAAGAGATTCGATGATAAAAATAGTACGCGAAAAGTTTTTAATGGAGATTTATTTACTGTACTTTACTGTACAAGAAGTACTGTAGCAAGTACTGGGTTTTGTGAAAGACTAGACGAAAGACTAATCGAAAGACTAGCGTGAGCGAAAGACTAATCGAAGCATCTAGTAGCTGGTTCCCTCTGAAGTTTCCCTCAGGATAGCAGGAGTTTGTATCAGTTATATTCGAATGATTAGAGGAATTGGGGGCGAAATTCCCTCAACCTATTCTCAAGAAAGAGATTCGATGGTAAAAATAGTACGCGAAAAGTTTTTAATGGAGATTTAGGGTAAATTTTAAGAATGTTTCTTTGGATTTGATTTTAAAATCAATTCAATAAGGGGGGGGGGCGCCGAAATGAAGAACTTTTCACCCAAAAACCTTCTTTAAATAACGTTCGTTTCACAAAATGGTCGACTATTTCTTTAAAATGGCTTTAGAGATTCCACAAAGCTTTCTTTTGGGATTTATGGATCCCAAACACAGTAATCAAAATGAAAAAAGTGCGACTCATTGTTGAAAGTTTCTTCCACATAAACCTCCTTTGGTGTTTATATAAAAAGATGGACACTCAATTCATAAGTTACCAATTTCAGGAGATCCCTCCAACCATTCACTCAACACAGTTATCAATTGAAGCTTGTGGGCGCTGTTGAGCAAAGAGACAGGACGAAGCAACAGCCGGACCATTCCCAACCCAATTTAAGATCAACTCAATAACCAACCAATAATCATTTGTCTGAATTGAGTGAATAAATTTGTCGTTTTGAATATTCTCAAAAAATAATCTCACAAGCAGAAAATCTTTGGTAGAATCAATGCTTTAAATGCTCTTATCTTTAAGCAACAAAACACAATAGATTTTCTAAAAATATCACAGTTCAACTAATCAGTTTTTGACTCAAAAAGGGAAAGGGAAAAAGGAATCAAAATGAAGAAAGTTTCTGGTTTTCATAATTGAAAAAAAGATTAGACCTTTGTTTGTTTTAAATGTAAGTTAGTTGAAACAGAAATGGAAGAAGTGTGGGCGGATTTCTGAAAGAAAAAACTTACAGATTTTCTTCAACTAACTCCAAAATGAGAAAGGCTAAAAGTAAAAAGTGACGAGAGATTTCTGCAAAATCTATCTAAGTTTTGGAATTTGCCATTGGATTCTGCCACGTTTTCTAAAACGTATCAGCTTTGGTACGATAACCTTTTCCTTTTAGAAAACAACTCTCATCAACTATCGTTTTCTAAAACATAGAAAAATCTATCATAATCACAACCTATCCCTCTTTTTCGAGATTTATTCAAAGTTAATCAAAGTTAGTTCAAGAACGAGAGGTTCTAAAACGAAAGAACCTCTCGTTCTTTCGTTTTAGAAATTCCAGTCACCTCCAATAAGTTTGTTTATAACTCTTTTCCAATAAGAACTGCCAGAATTTGGAATCGATTCCCCAGAGTTTTGAGAGAGTCCAATAGTCTCCTGAATAAAGTATCGGGTGGGTCGTTCACGGGGGCCGCGGGGGCCTCAAGAGCATGTTATTTTATTGAAGAAAAGATTAGAGCTTTAGGTTGGGTTTTCTCTTTCGCGTTGATGCGCGGCGTATACATAATCTTGACTCTAGTTCTGCCTAATTTTAGTCGACGTCTGTGAGAGTTCATAAAGGATCAAAAGAGTTCATAAAGGAGCAAAAGATTCAAAAAGTTTAAAAACAAACCCGATTACGATAGTTTTAGAAAATGCATAAATCAAAATTCTATAAGAAGTTTAAAAATGCAATACTATAACAATTATATAGATGTTTAAATGGCAAAATAAAACCCAGTCAATAGTTGGAACTGTGAAATTTCTCTTGGCAAATAAGCAACTCTTTTCCTATCGATTTTAAAACAACATGAAAAAGTCTTTTCTCGAGATCGAGCGGACTCAAATTCGCCAAACAAACCAATCGTCCTTTTTTGTGTCTTCTCTTCGCTTGAAAGAGATCCTATGTATTTTCCTTTAACTTCTCTACTTTAATGTTATTTTTTGAAGAGTTTGGAAAAGAAAGTTCGTCAAAAAATTTCAGCTGTCTCAAAAAGAGAATAAAATAGAATGGGTAATCAATCCAGAGTGTTTGTTTTTAATTTTTGATCTGAACGATTGATCTGAAAAAGTTGTTCTATTCAAAAATTTGGATTTATTTAAAGATCAAAACTTTTTCAACGATTTCAATGAAAAATTCAGTGAAGATTTTCATGTAGATCCTAATAAAAGAAACCAGGAGTTGTTTTGGATTTCTATACCTGGAGTTATGGACCATTTAACTGGATCAACTCTTCCAAATAGATAGTCCAACTTTGACTGAGCTTTTCTCTATGTTTTTATATTAAAGTTTACTAAGGAAGTTGTGGTTTTCTATAACGAAATTTCATAAGGAACATTTTAAGACCAACCACAAGTTGATCGCTCAATTGGTAGTTGAGATATGGAGGAGAAGAGAAGAGTCATCAAACTCCAACTCTCTACCGCCCCCCCGCCCCCCCTCCCTAGACATCAACTCTTCCAAATTTTTGCAAAAAATGCAAATGATCAAGATTTTGGATTTTGAATGATTTTTAAATCAAAAAAATCAAAAATCAAAAGTTTATTCCTTTTATTAAACAATATTTTGACAAAACACAAGTTTTTGAACGAAAATAGCTCAATTTTTGACTTTTCTCTCTTCTCAAAGCTTAAACAATCAACAAAAGCGAGTCTGGATAAGAAAAAAAAGCTTGACAACCAACAGAAAACACAAAAGCAAACCTTTGGAAACATTGAAAACAATGATTTCGTCAGTTTTTAAGGTTTAAATGGTGACTAATAACTGGGAAAACGAGAATTGTACGTTTACTTTGACTCACAACCGTTTCTTACAATCTTAAAAGTAATCATAGAGTCATAAATTGTCTGGAAATTGAGTTCAAACAGTAGCTGTTTTTAAATGTAAGCGAAAAAAGAAAACTATGACGAAAGTGAAGCTAAAAATTCCCGGCTTTCTCTATGGAAACATGTGAAAAAGTGGAGGGGAACAGGGAATAGAAATTTGAAAAAAAAGGAGATGGAAAGAGGGGGAGAAGTGGAGGGGAATTCAAGTGGGAGAGGGAAAGGAAAGGGGAGCCGAGGACCCAGCGTTGGCCCTTTTTTGGTCTGTCATCATTTTGCATCGATCTTTGCATCGATCTTTGCATTGATCTTTGCATCGATCTCTGCATTTATCTTTACATTGATCTTTACATCGATCTTTGCATCGATCTTTGCATCGATCTTCACGATTTAATCTTATTCTTCAAATATTAAAAACTAAAGTAGTTTTTAAGGCAGAAGAAGAGCTTTGGTCTGTTTGAACTTGATTTCATTTATGATCTAGAATCATTTACATATAAACAAGTAAAGGTACAGTACTGGACAATGAAATATGATATTTGAAAAAAGATCGTCACTTTCGCGCGTCTCTAACTTCCTCTGTCTTTGAGTTTAAACTGTTAGTGTTATACATTTTCTGAAAGCTCTTTTCAAGGGCTACACAATGGTAGTATTAATATTTAGAAATACGGCAAAGACAAGGGAGTTACAGACGCGCGAAAGTGACGATCTTTTTTCAAATATCATATTTCATTGTCCAGTAGTGTAGGTGTTAATCTTTGACCGATCCGATCGTCCAATCACTTATATACCTATAGAAAGCTTTCAATGGAATTCAACTTGTTTTACTTCTCAAAGTTGGAATATTTCTTAAGTTGGTAAGCATTTCTTGATGCTTTAGTTACGCATCAAATATCGGATGAGTTCTTTTTGAAAGTCTTCATTCGATTCCCCTTGTTTCATCGGTGTCTCAGCATCTAGTTTAGTTTGTCCAGTAGTGTACCATTAAACCACACCATTAAACCACACCATTAAACCACATTAAACCGCGCGTCTGTAAATCTACAGACGCGCGAAAGTGACGATCTTTTTTCAAATATCATATTTCATTGTCCAGTAGTGTAGGTGTTTTCGGGTCAAAAATCTAGCTATTCTTTTAAAAATCCTATTATTAATCATTGAGAGATATGAAAGTAATAGGGAAAGCTATTTTTGAGATCTTTTTCTTTATAAAAGCTTTTCTTTATAATTTTTCAAAATTTTGCTATTGTTTTGTAGAAATAAAGTACAAAAATATCTAAAAGAAAGGAATTAAAAGCAGTTTTTTTAAAGAAACAAAGCTCAATCTTTTGTTTTTTTAAGTTTAAACAGTCAAAAGTCAACGGAAATCATTGTGGTTTAAACTAAAATTCGGAGAGTTCAGATTTCACAATTTTCTGATTAAAATGTTTGAAGAGAAGTCGATTTTAACAAGAAAAAGAATCCATAAAATGAGCTGGGAATGAAAAAAAAACAGATTGAAAAGCTTTCTGGGAAAAGGAATGGATCCTTGAAAGCCTCTAGCTGAAGCAACAGACCCATGTTTAGAACTCGTGTTTTCTCTCTCCATTCTTTTTCCATTCCCATACCAACCAGCCTCCACTTCAGTTGAAAAAATTCCCTTTCTCTTTTTTGAATCGGTCAGTCCACTTGTACACACAATCCCCTTGTTCATTTTTTTTTTTGGTTTTTGGACTCTCATTGTTTGAAAATGGATGAAGCAGGATCTGGATCTTTGCAAAAAAACTATTGAATCACTTTGAAAAACTTTGAATGATCTTTGAATGACTATAGAAGTTCGATTAAAAACTCGTTAATCGATTAGTACTTCTAAATTCCAGAAATCTTAGAAAAACAGCCATAAAACTCAAAGAAAATGGGGAATTGATTGGGAAATGGTTATAAAATCGTAGGCTTAATTTCTCACTATATTATGCTAAAGTAAAAAGAATCATTCAAATGAATGACTGAGTCTTTTTGAGGCTTCAGACTGAATGCACAAATTCTGGTTTAACTATAGAAGCTCTCACATTTGAAAAAAGCCAGTTTTAGATACGAAATGGGGGTTAATATTGAGCCTTAGTATAGTTAACGGTTTTTGATAAAGGATGAAAATATAGAAAGCTGACTTTAATCAACTTTTTGAATCATTCAAATGGAAATCTGCAGAAATGAGCAATGTTTGTAAAGATTTCTTTCTAATAAAACAATCATTTAAAAAGAAGAACATTAGTCATCAAGTTTTGTGTGGAAATTTGAAAAAAAAACTCTTGAAAAGAGCCTGCGGGACTGGTTCTCTTTGACAGCTGATTCGAGTGAGTCATTTTGGAAAAGAAACCGAATAGTGAAAAGACAAAAAGACAAAAATTACACCTACCGTAAATACTGTAATAGTACTCCACCCCCCTCGTACAGTCGCGTAGTCGCAAAAGTTTTTTAGTATTTCATTTTTTTTCAAAGCACCCGTACTTCCAAAAAATGCATCTTTGGTATCAAAAAATAGCCCTGAATTTCAGCTATTTTTTGATACCTAAGCGCGCATTGTAGCATAAACAAGTGTCGAGAAAACCGCGTTCAAAGCTAGACTACGCAACGCTCCGCACCGTCATTATGGGGGTGGGGTACTATTACAGGATTTACGGTACGTACTTACATCATAAGTCAGCTAATATAAGAAACTAAAAGCGAATATTTCTTTGAAAAGAGATGGAAAATTAGACAAACAGGAAAAATGAGAATTTACGATGAAAGTTCTTTTTAAAAACAAAAATTTCCCGTTTTAGGATAACAATATGCAAGTAAATGAATCATCAATTGGTTAAAT